TCTAGGTCCTATACATACCAAATTTGAGCAACATCAAGACTAACAGTCAAAAAACCCAATAAAGAACTGAGGACAGCATAGGGGCGTCGAGGATGTCATTCACAGACATTCGAATGACTTCGAGTATAACGGTTCTGCACTAAGTATAAGTAATAAGACCCTCAACTGAATACAATAGAAGAATAGTCCTTGAAGTTACTGCAAATACACAGCTTACAGGGGGTGTGAAGAGATTTACACATGCTTTCGGCAGTAACCAAAGTTTATGCTAAAATAAAACCTTAGAGAAATCCATAAAGTCTCTGTAGCTGACCACTTTGTTATTTTGTTACACTGTTCTAAAAGAGTAACTGTCTCTTCTGCTAGATATTCCACAAGCACCAGAAAGAAATTGCCAAGGAGAACAACTCCAAATCTACAAGCACACAGAGCACTGAGTACTTCTTGCTAAGTTGTGCCATTCAGTGTCCTACCGTTTGCTGACAAATTAAGAGGAATATTCTTATTTTCTTTCATATTAGCAACCTCATGCAGATACTGTTAGGCTCCTGCTGTTTCCAGTGGGTGGGTGCCCTTTGGTTTCCTGGCAAGCCGGCCTGAGAAATTCTGTGATTCAGTAAGCCTTATTCCTGGTTTCAGCTTACTGTCTTCGGGGGCATTACTCACACCTGGAAGAATTACCCCAGGTTACAATGGATAATTCAAACCTGAATCATACAAAGTTTCTAATCTCCTTGTTAGTCTTCAAAAATTTCTTCTCCATGGCTATCATGTAATGTTCCTGAGGGGTAATTTAAAAGGGGATCTAGCTGTATCTTCAGTTCTGGCCTTTCAAGTAAATGTAGTTTCTGAGAGAATGCAAGGTATTATTTTTTGGTACAAACATTTGTGGCCCGTACTCCTTCCTGGCAGCTTTCTTCCCTGGTAAGTGCTGTTCATTATAAATTTGCCCAAAGTCAGCAATACATTTTTCTCCGTAGAACTGAGGTCAATCTGATTTTAAAACCTTTTAAACAATTTAGGCTTATCTGTGGAAGTTTTCAGTCTTACCTAAATTATTCTTTGGGACCTATCTGGAAACACTTCAAGTTCTTTTTTTCCCCTTCTTTAATGAGCGAAACGTTTTGGTTTCAGAAATTTGGTGAAAGGTGGGGTTGACCCCCGCAGTCTATATGCACATTTCTATATACATTGCCTATGGGGGAATTCAACTTCCCTGGATTTCTCCGTGCTCTGGTAAAAGCCCTCGCCTCCGGAGACCCTTCACACTCCATGATAGTTAGATCTGTGGTCATTTATTTACCTAATTGCTCTTCTCTGAAAGGACATGAAGTTCCTCTTATCTCAAATGGCTCCAGCTGGACCTAGGGCCCTAGGTGAAGCCCCAAGGTGCCGGAACTCTGCAGTGCTCTCTGTAGGTAGGTATTCATATCAGAAGGAATGAAGTCCCTGAACTTGCAGACTCTATGAGGGGGTAAAAGCAGAGACCCTGGGGGCCGTCTAGCTCTTGGAGAGACTATTTACATAGCAAAAGGATGGAGTTAGGTTTCAAACCCATTTGGTATCCAAGCAGTCTTTCAAGAAGGAAGGGGACTATCTGCCTCCTTCCTCTTTATTAGCAAAGCAGCATTGTTTTTTCCTTGCATAGGACATTTGACCCCTGGCCAGCAGTAAGATCTGAGGGATGTGGGGGTGGAGGTGATATACTTATTTCTATTTAAGGCAGTTAATAAGAAATCTGTCTCCGATCCAGAACACCTTGTCTGTACATTCAAGATACAATTGATAATAATGAACATGAAAAACCAAACACTGACAGACTGGGTGATCAGACTGGGGTGGGTCCTTTCCCTCCTTCTCTACCAGTCACGACCAGCTGTGGAGAAGGGAGGGAGTAAGGTGTCCAGTCAAAAGCCTAGTCCTGCCTTTCCAGGCTGGCGGGTGCCCGAGGTCAGCAGCAGAGCCTGCAGCCCTCTGGTGCATTTGGTCTGCACTGAGTGGATTGCCAGATAAGATATAGGACCCCTGGTTAAATGGGAATTTTGGATAAATAACAAATAATAGCATAAGTATATCCCAAATACTGCATGGGCCATACGTACGCTTTAAAAAAAATCATTCATTCTTCATCTGAAATTGAAATTTAACTGGACATCCTGTACTTTTATTTGCTAAATTTCGCACTCTACCATGATGACAGTGACCTCCTAGAGTTGCCAACAACTCATGTCCATTAAAAGAATAAATTTAAAAGGGCCCTTTTCACGAAGGGGGCCTTTCTCTTCGTTTCTGAAGGGATGTTAGAGGACATTGCGCTCAGATACTGAATCTGGTCAATGTTGACATCCAGAATTATGGGCTGAATGTGTCTCCCCACCAGTTCCTGTGAAGGCCTAACCCCGCCCCGTGTGGCTGTGTTTGGAGAGGAGGCCTCTGGGGACATAATTCAGGCTAAATGAGGCCATGTGGGTGGCCCCCTGAGCCAATAGGAGGAGTGACCTTCCAAGAAGAGACAGCAGAGGGCTCGAGCTCTCTCTCCACACGCACAGAAGAAAGGCCTCGCAAGGACGGCGGGAAAGCAGCTACCTGCACGCTAGAAAGACAGCTCTCACCAGAAACCAACCCTGTGATCTCAGACTTTCCAGCTGCCAGAGCTGTGAGAAAATAATGTCTGTCCTGTAAGCCGCCCAGTCCGCGTTTGTTATGGCGGCCTGAGCCGACTAAAGCACCATGGCCACAGTTAGCTTCTGAAGCCTCCACTGAATCTTCCCACAACCACCCTGGGCGGCGGGGGGGGGGTGGTGGGTGGGGTGGTTATTTCTCCCGGCTCAGAGACACAACTCCCAGGGCCTGGGAAACGGTAGAACGGTGCTCAGCACATAGAAAAAAATTTTTTTAATATTTAATGAGGGGCGCCTGGGTGGCTCAGTCATTAAGCGTCTGCCTTCGGCTCAGGTCATGGTCCCAGGGTCTTGGGATCGAGCCCCACATGGGGCTCCCTGCTCCGCGGGAAGCCTGCTTCTCCCTCTCCCACTCCCCCTGCTTGTGTTCCCTCTCTCGCTGTGTCTCTGTCAAAATAAGTAAATAAAATCTTAAAAAAAGAAATATTTAATGAAGGAAAGTTACCCAGCTGAGGTGGCACCATGCATGCGTCTGTGGCCGAGGCGGGACAGTGGCCTCCGGGCTCCTTTCTCTTGCCTGTTTTTGTCTCTAACCCAGGGATGCCGAGTCCCTGAGGATAAGTCCCTTTGCCAGTGTAGTTTGGATTTCCTCGTCTCTAATCTGGGTTTACTAATTCCCGTCCTGATCAGCTCACAGCAGGACGGTGGATGCAACTAGTTGAATGGGGAAAGCTCTCTGAAAACCACAGAGCCCGATCACCTGTGTTCTGAGCCTTACCTGTAAAAGAAAGCAGTGAGAGGCAGTCCAGTCTAGAGGATCATTCAAGAGGAGGGTCTGTCCCAGAGATCTTTGCTGTTGTGTCCTTCTGCAGGACAGGGGAAGACGCTGGATGAGCCTGTGGGGAAATGCCCCTCGAGGCCCACGTGCTCCTTGTGGGGTAAACCACTGCCTCCCACTGGGTTTCCCATCCCCAGAGAAACATTTGAATTTGATCTTGGTCCAAACGGCCTCCTCTGTCCTCCGTTTCTTCCTCTGAAGTTCTCTTCCCGATGTTTGAATTTAGAAACCACAGGTTCGGGGACCAAAGAATCACACCCAGAGTGGGTGGCCTAGATCTTGAATTTTAAACAACCAGGTAACTCCCAGAAGTGCTTTTGTCTGCCTCAGTGAACAACAGAAGCTAACTCGGGCCGACTTCAGGTGAATTTATTTAAAAAAAAACAAGGTAGCCCGTGTAATTAAGGAAGAGCTGAAGAGCGGGCCAGAAAGGACAGGAACGCAGATAGTCACAAAGACCTGAGCAACAGGAACGAACAGGTGCGGCCAGGGTGCCGGGGCTGTGATGCATCTGCTCCCACTTTCTTTCTTTCCCTCCCCATCTCATCACCCTCCCAGCTGGTTGTTTTCAGCTGCAGGCAAGAGATCACGGCTAAGAATGGCTTAATAATAAAGGTATTGCAGGGACACCTGGGTAGCTCAGTCGGTTAAGCATCTGCCTTCGGCTCAGGTCATGATCCCGGAGTCCTGGGATCGAGTCCTGCATCAGGTTCCCTGCTCAGCGGGAAGCCTGCTTCTCCCTCTCCCTCTGTCTTGCTTCTCCCCCTGCTCATTCTCTCTCTCTCTCTGACAAATAAGTAAAATCTTTTTTAAAAAAGGTATTTCAGGGGCGCCTGGGTGGCTCAGTCGTTAAGCGTCTGCCTTCGGCTCAGGTCATGATCTCAGGGTCCTGGGATCGAGCCCCGCATCAGGCTCCCTGCTCCGCAGGAGGCCTGCTTCTCCCTCTCCCACTCCCCCTGCTTGTGTTCCCTCTCTCGCTGTGTCTCTCTCTGTCAAAAAATAAATAAAATCTTAAAGAAAAAAAGGTATTTCATTGTCTTACGGAACAAGTATTCTGGAGATGAGTGGTCTGGGGTTGATGTCATGGTCTACATCGCTGATTCTTTGGCTGTTCTATCACAAAATGGCTGCTACCGCTACAAATACATTCTCCCCCCAGTATTGCAAGCAGGAAGAAAGATGTGTAGCAGAAATAGGGATGTCCCTTTTTATTAAGGAGGCCTCCCATCACCCTTCCCTTTATAATTCTTTGGTTGGAACTGGGTCCCATGGCCACCCCTAGCCACAAGGAATGCTGGGAATGTCAGCTTCTGGCATAAGTGATCAGAAGAGCAGTGACTGGCTTACACCAGGGCTTCATCTCCTGGGGTTGGGCATATTGCTGCACAAAACTAAATCAGGGCTCTGTTAGCCAGGAGGAAGGGGCAGGAGTTCTCATGATTCAGATCCCCTGGAAAGAGCCAATGTGCCTAGCTGTGGCCATGTGCAGTGCAGTGTATCATCTGGGTCTTCTAGATGAGGTTGCTGGGGCTCAGAGAGGTTCATGGTCATCTGGGGTCCATGGTCAAGCTAGGATTGGAAGCTGGGCAGTCTGAATCCAGAGTCCATGTTCATCAGCACACTACATCATTGGACAAGTCTAATGGAGTTGGGTCATCATAAGCAGTTGGCTTGGTGAGACCAATAGGGTTTGGCCAGACATAAGGGGGCTGTTTTTGAGGGTCTTCGAGTCCTAGGGCCCATGGAGAGGTGTGCCACAAGGATGTCCTTCCAGCAACAGGAATGCAGGATGGATGACAGCCCCAAGGACGTCACTTGCAGATAAGAGGAGCCCGAACCAGGAAACAAACCTAGTTTTCCTCACCAAAGGGTCTGTCACACATGGTCAACTTCTGAAGTGAATCCACAAGCCAGGAACATTTGTCTAAACACTTTAATTAAAATGCATTGTAATAGGATGAAAGCCAGCATCTAAGAACAGTGTTCATGTTTGCTAAGAAAACAGATGAAAATATTCCAGGTAGCCAAACACATTTTGATAATGAAATTTTACACAGCTTCTTGGTTTTCATCTTATTTAAAATATCTGTATAGTTAAAAAAAATAGTTTGCTATTCATTTTCTGCCACAGTACAGGAAACGTGGAGACATTTGAAATCGGTACAGATTCAAACACATAAATAAAGATTCTGTTTCAGATACTGCAAAATTACAGTATTCTGAGCTGTCCCATCCGTACCTTGGTGACTAACCAGTCCAATTCTATTTGGAGAATAACGCTAGCCTCAAATTCAATTTATCTACAGTCCAACTTTCGCAAAAGCATCAAGTTTAATGAAATATCACAGTGAAATTAAGACACCACTAATCTCATTTCAAAATCAATTTTCTTTCTGGGACAATTCTTGGGAGCCTCAAGAATCTCTCGCTTCATATAATAAGCAGTATATATTCAAGGGTTGATATCTAAAAGAATGAGTGTGTTCATATAAAAAAAAGATTCCTTATAAAATAGGATCTCACAGTAAAGGTGCCTTTGAAATATTGTGCCATCTACTGCAGGGTAATACATGAACTTTATTGATATATCTGAAATCCTTGGCTAAAGATGGAAGCATTCTCTATGCTTGGATCTTAGAATACGTAGTGCAAATATGAGTATGCTAAATGGAGATGGTGAAGACAAAAATTAGCCCAAACTTCCAGACTTCCCCTATTTAAAAACAGTGCTTACTGTATGAAAGTATGTATAAGATTTTTGTGTATTGCAGCATTATTATTTTTTTTTTTTTTAACAGCATGAGACTGGAAACATTGCAAATGCCTGTCCGTGGAGAGCAATTCAACATTATGGTCTTTGCATACAATGGACCAGATTGCAGGCATGAAAAATCAGCACGCCCTTGATGTACTAAGGGAGGATCTTCAAATTAAATCAAATGCAAAACAACAGCAGCTCTAGTATGTTACTATTTGTGTAAAGAAAAAAAAAAAAAAGAAAAAAGGAAGGGTACAAGGAACTGATGTAGTGGTTTGCCTCCAGGAAGGGGACCACGGACGTTGGGCACCAGGGGTAGGAGAGATCATTTTAACTGGGTAGCCTTTTGTACCTATGAAAATATGTTATTAGCTATTAAAGTAAATTAATAAAAGCTTTTTAAGCGGCTATAATCATGCCGCTCATCATTATATTCAATGTGGTGATTACTCAGATCATGTGGCATGTCATCAACTAGATAAATCTATTACCCTGGGATTTGGAAATGTTTAGAGCAGCCTGGCAACTCCCATATTGTGTCATTTTTTCACAGAGGAAATGAATGTTCTGCTTTTAGTCTGATGGACAAATACACAACATTTGCAAGCCCTCAAAGGCCCCTGGTGCAGTGGCGCAAGGTCCTGTGATTTTATATAAAGTGGGCAGTATCTATTGGAATTCCGGGCCTTTTGTGTTCATTGTTGCTGGTGGAAACAAATAGTCCAACACTAGTTTTTGTTGTTAATCACCCACTGCCCCAAGAGCCAATAGGTATGCAAATAAAATCCTCCCAATATTCAGTGACGGAATGACTCCTCCCCACCCCACCCCCCTTTTATCTTGAATCATTACAGCAACATGACTTGATCTGGAGAACCTTCAGGACTGTCAGTGGTGTCAGCGGTGATTTCTGTCTCCTAGGAGTAATGGAAGTTGCTACCCTCATCTCTATAGCAGGGGTGTCAAAAGCAAGCAAGCATCAAGCCCCGCAGACCAGACCTGAGGGACCCGTAGGGGTGCCCAGAATCGCTCACAGTTACGGTGGCCAGGAAGCCCACTTCCATACTGGCATCCGACTCGGAACAGCCTGGGGAAGATCCTTGCTAACCACCCCAACCAGCACAAGATCCCTAATGTGACTGCCCAGCATGGATCATCAGGTCAGGTGAGCCGTAATTCCCATTTAGTCAAATGAACGGCACAACTGTCCTTTTGGCTGACAAGGTTTTTTAAAAAAGTAATCTCGGGGCGCCTGGGTGGCTCAGTCGTTAAGCGTCTGCCTTGGGCTCAGGTCATGATCCCGGGGTCCTGGGATCGAGCCCTGCATCGGGCTCCTTGCTCAGCGGGAAGCCTGCTTCTCCCTCTCCCACTCCCCCTGTTTGTGTTCCCTCTCTCGCTGTGTCTCTCTCTGTCAAATAAATAAATAAAAAATCTTAAAAAAAAAAAAAAAGTAATCTCTACACCGAACGTGGGGCTTGCACTCAGGACCGTGCAATCAAGAGTCGTATTCCCCATGGGACTGAGCCAGCCAGGTGCCCCATCTGCTAGCAAGTTTTCTATCCTTGAAATGTGGGAGATGAAATTCAAACATCCAGTAATAACCCCTTAGCCGCCAACAGAGCTTCCCAGGTGCTGGAGCCCCGTTCTCTGCTCTGCCTATAAACTTTTAAAACAGAAAAGAATTTTGTTCTTAAAAATCATAGTTGGGAGAGGTAGGGTTCTCAGATGACGGTGGGAACTTAGGGACAGGAACACTACATTTGTAGACTTCAAGACCAGCCCCGGCAGAAGCCGATGTCGGGGGGCAGGAATGACAGACTCTCTGTGCCCGGGGAGTCTGGGCCTGCGCAAGCCGGCGCGGGGCTGGGGACCGGCCTGGGGCGCGGGGAGGACGCGCCTGCACCCGCCCTGCCGGGAGTGGCGCGCTGGGGGCCTCCTCACTCGGCCTCCTTCTTCTCCTTCGGGATCTCCACCGACAGGATCTGCTCACCGGGATCCGGGCCCGGGCTCATGCAGATCCGCATCGAGGGCTCCTCGGGCCTGGCCTCCCCCTCCCCGCCTTCCTCGGGCTTCCCAGGGGAGGCAGGTGGCGGAGAGCGCGGGGCCGGGGGCTCAGGCGATGGGGGCTGCTCGGGGGCGGCCGGGCCCGCCTCTCCCGCAGCGTCTTGCGAGCTCTTGGCCTGAAATCCGGAAAGGGTGATTGGTGAGGCAAAGAACGTCTGAGAGATCTTGGAGGGGTCTTGAACACCTTCCCATTCCCTTTCTCGGACCCCCGAGGAGGATGGCAGAGGGCCCAGGGGTGCAAGCTAACGGATGGGAAGCGGGGGATCAGAGCGGCATCAGGATTATTCGGTAGAAACAGAGTATATTATGGGGAAGTTTAGGGATTAAAAGTTTAGGGTTGGATTTGGTGGATATTTTCGGTCTCCGTTGATTGGCGGGGCTAGAAACCAAGTGAAGTTGCAGGTTCAAGCCTGCCCCTGAGCTATGGAGAGAGGAGCGGCTGTGACCAGGAGGGGGCGCCAGCGAGGACTTTGCAAAGCTGAGCCAGCTGCCGGGTCCACCCGGGCTGCCCCGTCCGCCCTGGATACCAGGGCTGGATGCTCCTGGGTGAATAGAAACATTCTAAGCAAACAAGACAAAGGCTGAGATGGCAGAAGCAGCCTGGCGCCCTTTCTGGAAGGTCTCAAAGGTGGAGACTGCCACGCCTACCCCCATGCCCCAGGAGAATGGGCAGGGTACCACTGGCATTCGGCTGGGCTGAGCCCCCATGCTTGTGGACTTGGTGGGGACTTCCAGCCTGCAGGCTTCTGGGTTCCTGTGGACACTGGCTGTAGTCTGTGTATCAGTAAAAACCCAAGCCTTCGTGGATACCCGTGGCCTGTCCTGCCCTGTCTGACCCACCTCTGCCTGGACATAAATGGGAGGGAGTGGCCCCCAGAGGAGGAGATCTGAATGGTCCATAACTATCCGAGACCCACTTGAGATAGTGGTAGTGAATTTAAAATGAGAGCGGTCAGCATGCTTCTGAGGACCAAAGACCCCCTGAAGTCTGCTCAAATCATAGGGTGTTGAAGGAAGGGAAGTGGGGTGGGGAACCCCACTCATAGAACCCAGGGCAACTCTGGGGACCTGTCCCTCCCTCTGTTTCTGTGTTCCTGCATGTTCTGGCGCACCTGTTCTGCCTTTCCCTGTCTGTCCTAAACTCTGACAACACACTTCCAGGGCAGGTGCCCATTATGGGACTTCCAGAAGCATCCTGCTATTAACAGAACCAGAAGAATCATGGGGAGGTTGGTCAGGGGCTTTGCCAAGTTCAAAAGGCTTTTAAAAAGATATCCAAGGTATCCTGTTTCATCTCTACAACCCCATGGGGCAACCATGAGTAATCTGGGTCTCAGAAAGCATGAGGAGCTTCCCCAGGTCACAGAGCTGGCCGTGACAGAGCTGGGATTTAGAACCGTGTCTTTGGATTGTTATTTCAGAGCTCCTTGCACTCTGCCATTCTGCCCTGATTGTTCTGAAATTGCTTTTTATTAGAACTCTCATGCAAATTTAATTCACCTCTCCAAGCTGCCTGGGTGGAGAGCTAATACTCAGGAGAAATAAGCCCCATTTCAGATAAAGCCTTTCACCGTCCTGAGAACAGTCTTGGAATTCATGTATGCTGATTCCCATGTAGCAGCCGGCACTAAAGACCCCAGCTTGCTGGCTCGACCTTGACCCTGGCACTTGCGAGCTCTTGGCCTCAAGTGAGCCAGGCAATCCTGTCTGTCCTCTGTCTGGGGCCACGGGTGGCTGTATCTTGAGAATATCTTGGAACCCCGGGTAGCTTTGATGTCACCTCCCAGACTCCAGATGTCAAACGATCAGATGGGTCCCCTGGACTCTGACACCAGCCTGGATTTGGACTGAGTTCCCTGGGCTCCTTTGAATTCTGTCGTGTAGTCTGCAGCACCCAACCTGCCACTGAGCTCCTGCCCACCCACCGCCCCCCTTCCTAGCAGCCTCCCTGAAGGACAGTCATGAATAGTCATAATTAGTGCAATCATTCTAATTGGCATTTTTGGCATTAGTCACAGAAAAGAGTCCCAGAACTAATTTTAAAATTCCCTTCAGATTTCCGAGGGCGGGGACAGGCGGCACTGTGCCAGCCGGCAGGGTTTCTTCTCTTCAAATCTCCTAAATTGTCACAGACACAAAGATTAAATATGAGAACATCACGGCCATCTGGGGAGAGACCTTCCCTGCCCACGCCCGCTGCTCCCACCTCTGCAACAGCACGGACTCCCCTCGGGGGACTGGCCCCCCTCAGCCCAGGGACGGGCATGGGAGCCTGGCGTCTCCCAGGGCTCCACAGTGAATGGCTCTGGAAGTGACATGAGATCCGATTCTGTCCAATGACGGTGAGCCCTGGGACTTTTGCTGGAATCATGGGGCAAGAGGGGCTTCCGGTGGGAGTTGCTCAACCAGGAGGCGGCAGTCCTAGTGCTCTTGCGATCTGAAGCCATCCTCGAGGGAAGTGGACATGGCAGGATGGCAAAACGAGTCCCACTGGCAATATCTGAGCTTTTGGATCCAGCCTTGCCTGGACTTTGCAGCTACTTGGCCCAATCGATTCCCTGTTCCCTTAAGCTAACTTGAGCTGGCACGGAGACCTGCATTTGTCACTTGCCACCAAAGGCGTCCCGACCAGTAGGAAGGAGGGGGAGACGTTCCCTGCAATGAAAGGTGCACAGTCCGGGCTCTGGCATGAAGTTGAAATGGTGGGGGGGCCGGTTCCCCACCGCGTTACCTGTTCCAGCAATTGTTGCTCCCTCGCAGCTGCCTCCAGCACAGCGAGCTCCTTGAGCCGGGCCCTCAGGTGGGCAAGCTTGCTGGCTTTGGTCCCCTTGCCGCCTACCTTTCCTGCTACGGCCAGGGCGGCATTGAAGAGCTTGGGCGTGCCTGTCCGGGGAGGCAGGATGAGCACGCTCTTCGACTCCCTGGGCTTGTTGTTATTTCTCAGCATTTGCCTGAAAGAAAGCAGTGCCCGTGCACGTCACAAGCATGCTCTGGGAGAGAAGAGGGGCCTGTCTGTGGAGGACCCTCTGCCGGAGCTGCTGCAGGGGGTGGTCGTTCTGGCTAACAGGCTGTGAGCAAGCACAGCGTTGGGTGCTTTATGCACAGCATCTCAGTGACGGATCGGAACAACACCAATGACATGGGTCTTACTGTCTGGACCCTTATAGAGGAGGGAACGGAGGCTCAGAGGGGTTGAGTCACTTCTGTGAGGTCACACAGGAAATACTGAATGATACTATAACAGATGGACTCAGAAACGGGATGCCCAGATGAAAAAAGACCCAAAGCTTTTCTTCTCTTCCTTTTGCTTTCTTGTCATGTCACTATCCTCACCATCACCTCTGTCAACACTTAATGAGTGTCTATACATGTCAGGCCCTGGGCTCGGTCCTTTACAGGCAGTCTGGTGGCCCCTGGGGGTCCCTCTTCCTAGTGTCTGTGCCTCCGTGTGATCCTCTCCCCTCGGGGGTGAGGGGGACGTGTGACTTGCTTTCGACCAGTAGAATACAGCAAGGGTGATGAGCTATCCCCTTTGCGAACATGTCACATGGGATTGTGATCTCTGTCTTGCAAGGAGACTCTCCCTTCCTGGCTCTGATGCAACCAGGGGCCATGTTGGGGGCGGCCCACGTCGCAAGAACCAAGGGCAGCCACCAGTCAACAATTAGTTGGGAATGGAGGCCCCCAGTCCTACAACCATAGGGAACTGAATTTGGGTGACCACCATGTGACCTTGGAAGCAGGTCCTTCCCCAGGGGAGACTTGAGATGAGACTCAGCTCTGGCCAGCACCTTGATGATGGCTTTGGAGCAGACCCACCTAAGCCATCCCAGACTTCTGACCCATAGAAGCTACCTAACATGTAGTAATATTATTATGCAACAGACAACAGATACACACTTTGTCATTTAAATCCCACAGAATCCTTACAGGGAGGCCCCTATTTTTCTCCCTCATTTCAAATAAAGATATGGAAGACCAGAAGGGGTAAGTAGTTTTCCCAAGGTTACACAGTTAGGAAGTGGTGGGTGCAGAATTAAAACTCAGATCTAAAGGCAGTACGCCATGCTGCTCTGTAAATAAAGCTAGAATCTTCCATCAAACAGAGCCCCAGCCTTTGATAGTGAATTGTTCATGCTACAGATATGTGATGCGTGGTTTGGCTCAAGAACAAATGAATTTCGTCTGCAGGCTGGTGGGCCTAGACTCCTAATTGGCAAATTCATTCATCAGGGCTCCAACAAAACTTGTTTGTTTAAAAATGAGGACATTATTGGCTGCTTATCTAATCAGAGGCAATGGATTTAAATTGTGCATATTGATATTAATTGGCCAAGACTTGCATTTTTTGGCTGGGGCTCCCCCAGGAGAGCACAAACATGATAATTCATCAGAGGCCTCTTCATGCCTGGCACCATCACCTGTGTTATTCAGTCCGTAATTCACAGCATGACAGTCTGTGGGAAGGCTCAGCGTGGTACAAAAATGACACAAAAGAACTCTCTGTGGGACCTTGGCTGATGGCTAATGGCCATCCCTCTTCTGAAACATTGTGCTGGCTTCTGGGACATTTCCAGATTCAGGAAATGCAGCCTCACTTTCAGATGACGTGGTTTCCTATAAGCAGGATCGCACGTTCATCCCTGAAGAGAGTGGCATGCGTGGAACCTTTTTGCCCCATTTCTTGGAGTGGCCAAGACAGAGAGCTGAGCCCTTCACGTCTCTGGGGCCCCAGGTCCCCCATCTGTAAAGTGAGGAGTTGAGACAGAATCCCGCACGTGGCTTTCACCAGCTCAGACGTCCCCAGGCCCTGTGGTTCTCAGACCACGTCTTCCCTTTGATGGGCAGAGCTCCCGCATATTCCCCTGCCTCTGTCCTGAAGCTTGCTTGTCCAGGGAACCTGGCTCTCTGATGAATCATGCTAGAGCGCTGGCCTCAGGGCCTCTGTGCTGCAGGACCCGGGGGCTCCTCCTCTTTCCTCACCTTCTCCAGCGCCTGGCTGCCAGCTCGCCTAGCATGGTCAGCAGCCTCCGCGGGATCCCAGCTGATTTGCCAACCCGTCACCTAACCTAGCCAAAGGAGTGGGTGGTGGCTACAAGCGTGGCTTTCTTGGGCCTCGCTCCTCATGCAGGGGGAGGAAGGGAGGGCAGGGAAAACGGGCCCGTGCTCTCAGACAGAAACAGTCAATTCTCAGTACTCGTGGTAGTGTCGTTCTATAGAGTCCCTGCAAATACTGAATTAGTGAGTACCGAAACCATTGCTTCTGGCGGAAATAGAGAGTTAGGTTTCTGGTGAGCCTCTCACTGACAACATTTCAGCTACTGATCAATACTTGTGTGTGTTTCTGTTTAAAGACATCTGATTTAATATACAGTTGATTCATTGACATGGAACTCAGGACCCACAGCTCTATGAGTCATGCCTGAGCAAAGCTTATCTAAGCCACATGTCTTCTCTGTAAGGGACATTCCAGCCTCCTGGCCCTCGGGAACATACACAGCACCTCAGCACCACACTTCAGGGCCATTTTAAATAGGGAAATCGTCAGTGACAATCACAGAAATGTGAAAAATGCGGTAATAAATAGACCACGAACAGATTCTTGTTGACAAGTGTTCAGATGCTTCTGAGCTGAAACAATAAAGTGGAGCGTCACCTTGGTCAACATCTGCTGGGAACGTGCACTTAGGGCAACTCAGACTTCCCACTGCTGTCTCTGTGCACGTCCGCGAATTACTGGGGATGCCCAGGAGTGCTGATTTTGGGGTTCCAAATACATTTTAGTGAGTAGGTGAATTGCAGATACAGAATTGCAACTATGTGAATCATGAGGATTGACAATACTTCCCTGCTCCTCGGGAGAGTCAGGGGAAGTGGGCAGAGTTTGTGGGAGAAGTTCAGAACAGACCAGTCTTTGGAAGGGCCCAGTAGCTTCCTTAAGAGCAAACAGGTAAATTGAGTTATGGGGCAGCTTCCTTCCTCAGGGGACCCCAGCATCCTGTGTGTATTATGCTCTAACCTCAACACAGCATCCACTCACCTGGGGTTGCCAAAGGGATCCTGTGAAAACCTAAGTCACCTCAGGTCACCAGTCTGTGTAAAACCCTACATAGCTTCAATCTCCCTCAGAGCAAAACCCAAAGTCACTGCAAGGCTTTACCTACAAGGCCCTGCCCACTCTTATTCCCTTGACTTCTCCCATCCCAAATCAAGCTACACTTATTTTCTGGCTGGTCTGCACACACACACTGAGCCTACTCCCCCACAGAGCCTTTCCACCTGCTGTTCCCTCTGGCTGGAATGCTCTTCCCCGCAAGCAGTCCCACTCACTCTTTTTTTTTTTTTTTTTTTTTTTTTGAGACAGAGAGAATGAGAGAGCCAGAGAGCACATGAGAGGGGGGAGGGTCAGAGGGAGAAGCAGGCTCCCCGCCGAGCGGGGAGCCCGATGCGGGACTCGATCCCAGGACTCCTGGATCATGACCTGAGCCGAAGGCAGTTGCTTAACCAACTGAGCCACCCAGGCGCCCCCACTCACTCTTCATTCTGTGCAGGTCTCAGCTGAAATGCCACGTCCTAAGAATGGCTTTTCCTGACCAACCTCTCTCAAGGAACTCCCTCCATCACCTCCGTCTCCTCAATGTGGCTTTTTGTTTCCTTGTAGCCCTGTCCCCAGCTGACACATCACAGAATCATTCATCTCTCCACGGTCGGCCTCCCCTATTAGAATGCCAGCTTTATTTGGTCCCTGCTGTGTCCCTGGGGCCTAGAACTATGTACTCAATAAATGATTGTGCGCGATGAGTGGATGTTGTAAGTTTGTGCCCTTTATCATGACCTCTCTCTGTGCAGTTTATTTATGGTGTCATTTCATAGAATGAGGTAGAAGATAGGAATATGGGGTAAAAGGCATGGAGGAAAATCCAGATATGTAGATTTAAAAGGCTTCATCCAGTGGGAAAATTACAGAGAGGATTTAACGGATAAAGAGGAACAATTATGATTGTGAATATTCATTGAGCTCTCCCACCTGCCGGTACCCTGCTGAAGACATTCGCACACACGCTATTTTATTTAATTTTCCCAACAACAAAGTAAGGGGTTAACATACCCTTATTTTACAGAATTGCAGAAAACTGAGACAAGAGAAGTTAAGTAACTTTTCCAAAGCCACACAGCCAGTACCTCACAGATAGGGTGTGAGCCCCATCAGCTTCCCGAGCCTGTTGTGCATTTTCTACCACAACCATGCTGCCTCTGTCACTCAGCTTGAAACCTGATCCTAAGGGTCAGAAAGCAAAAGCCTGCTTCTCTAAAAAGTTACCCATTCTTCAACAGTACAAAATACAGATGCACAAGGTTATTCGCTGTGGCACTGTTTATAATTGCAAAATATTAGAAATCTAACTGCCCATTCACAGGAACACTCTGCAACTGTCAGAGGAATGAGGAAACTGATGGGTCTATGGACTGAGAGAGAATGTTTTCCAGGATGGTTGTCATGTGAAAAAAAGCAAAGTGCAAAAGAAAATCTACAGTATGCTACGTTTTGTGTAAGACAGGGAAAATAAAATATTCACCAATCTGCCTATTTTTGCAAAAGGAAACACATTAAGGAAGCAGCAGAAACTAATGAGACTGGGCTCTTGTAGAGCCGGGGGTAGCAAGTGGGGGAAGCTGGGACACTTCTCCGGGCACACCATTCTGTTGCATTATGACTTTTGGTGCCATGTTAATGCATGACATATTCAAAACAACAAAAAATCAACAAGGATTGAGGCAGGAGGAATCATTAAAAAAATGGAGCGCAAACCAAAACACATGAGCCTGGGTACATTTCAAATGAACAACCAACCACACTCAAGGGAGGCAAAAGAAAACGAATCCAATTAACTCTGAACACACACTTACCTCATAGGTACTTAGGCTAAAGACAAAAAGAACAGCACCAAATATTAAATTCTGCTGAGAAGGCTTCCCCACCACCCCAGTGCTTTGGGATAGCAATTCTGAAATTGCTTTGTCTGTATTGTAGGACTGAATAAATGAGTGAATGCAAATGAGGGCAAAGAGATCCAAATCTCTCAGTGTTGGAGAAGGAATTTACAAAATAGGGAAAAGGAAAAGATTTGAAAGAACTCTGTGGTATTAGACTGAAATTGTTAGATAGATACAGATGGAAAAAATAGATGTTGAGATATATATACTTATATGAGTGTATATATGTATATTTGCATTTGTATATATAGAGGGGCATGCAGGTGTGTTTCCCAGCTCTGTCCACTTGGGAGCCTAATAGCACCCTAGTACCCATGAGCACACATAGTGCTCAGATGTTGGTTTCTAAAAACCATTCCCCCCTGCAAGGAATCGGGCTCCTTGGAGAAACGGCCATTCCCAGGGATGTGGCAGGAAAGTCACAAGATGAGCCCAGAACATCTTATTGTGCTTGTAAGCAAGGAAGTGCTAAAATGGTCTGGGTACATAACAAAGAGCCACAGGGCCAGCCTAAAGAGGTCCCTGCTGGCTGAATCTGGAACAATTTGAGCATCAAAATAATGATAACAACATTATTATGGAACAAAACAAATCCATATTGATATAGATAAATGAATAAACAAATACATGGGAGAGAAGAGAAAGCTCTTCCTCACAGTAGAATGCTCCTAATAAATGTAGAAGGCATGATGAACTCAGAAAAATCACCATTTTGCAACCATGATGGCAATCACTGATTTAGCAAGGGGCCCTCAGATGCTGGACATAGCAAGTGAAGGTTTGATGGGAAACAGGAGGTCTAGATAGCCTCAGACTGACTCCCTGCTTATTACTTATTAATTACAAGGAGAAAAATGTTAACTTCAGCATGCAAAAACCTAAACCAAGTGATCAAAGGGAAAATCATCAATCCTAGGAGAAGCCAGCATCCCGTGCCTCTCGGTACGCTGTACTAAGAAGAACACAACATCACTTTTTTTTTAAAAGTAGGCTCCATGCCCAACGTGGGGCTTGAACTCACAACCCTGAGATAGCGAGTTGCATGCCCTACCAACAGAGCCAGCCAGGCGCCCCCCCAACATCACTTCTGAGAAATTCCTGCCCCCATGCAGAACCTGAAGGTAATCATGAGAAAACATCAGAACATCAGCTAACCCTAAGTGAAGGGACATTCTACAAAATAACTGGCCAGTCCTCTTCAAAGAAATCCAAGTCACTGAAGATAGAAAAAGGCTGAGGCGCCATCCCAGATCCAAGGCGACTGAAGATACGAGGCTATGTAATGAAACAGGGGGTCCGACACTGGATCCAGGAGTGGAAAAGAAGACAGGAAAGGCTATAAAAGGCATGATTGGGACAACTGGCCAAATTTGAAGATGGACTGGGAATAATAGCATCATTTCAATACTGAATTTCCTGATTGTGATAAAGGTACTATGGTAGATAAGATAAAGCTTTAGTCCTTAAGAAATGTGCACTGACATACATGTGGATTTTTTTTTTTTTTAAATAAAAAAATGTACCTGGCCTTCTTCCGGAGTAACTTCTGAGACTCGGGATAATGCACCAAAATTTCACTGAGGTCCTTCTTGTCCAGAATGAAGAGGTTGGTAAACCCGTGGGCGACCACGTTGGCCGTGCGCCGATTCCCGCCCCCAACAGCCAGCAAGCTGGGGCAGGGAAGGGAGGAGGTGAGAGCTGGCAGGCTGGGGTTGGGATCCCACTAAAATGTCCCTTTCCACCCCTTGCCCAGAGCACAGTGGCAGCCCCACATGGGCAAGAGCCGGGGCCCACCCTGCATATGTCAGCATCCACAGCGGCTCACTCAGACCCACCAAAGGGCCCTTGAGGATGAGGTCGTCCCCTCCCCCACTGGCCACCTCCCCCCCAGCTTGGGCCCAGGTCCGCTCATTTCACCCCAGCTCCCCCCTGACCTTATTTCTCCAAACACAGATCCAGGCTTCAGCGTCACCAGCACAGCCTTCCCATCGGGGCCACCCAAGACCTGCACCTGTCCCGCCTGGATGATGTACATCTCTCGGCCTATCTCCCCCTGAAACAGAGAGGGGGTGAGCCCCCTGCCATCGCCAAAAGTGACCACAAAGGTGGCAGGGCTGGGCCCAGAGGCTGCTGGCACAGCTCAGAGGAACCTGGGCTGGTGTCCCGCCCCACCACCGACACGGTGTGTGGTGTGGAGCCGTCACTTCCCCTCTGGGGCCTCAGTCTCCCCATCTGTGGATTGGGGAGAGTGGCCACCCCTGGCCTGCCTAACTGACAGGATTCTGTGGGGAGTTAGTGGTGTGATGGAGAAGAAAGTACTAGGTAAGCTAGAAGGCACAGTTGTAATGGCATTCTGGAAATTCCCAATTATACATGCCAATGGAGGGCCGGGGGCATGGAAAAAATTAACAATGGTTCATACGATAAATTGATACCTGTGCCTAGCACATGTCACTTCAGGAGCTCGGTAAGCATTTGCTAGCTGAAATAGGAGTGGTGACAACGTCGATAATGAAGTCCAGCTGTTGTGCGACATTTTTCTGTGCGAGGCATTACTCTAAGTGCTGGGCCTGCTTAATCCTCCACAGCTCTGGGGTAGGAACTCTTGGCCCGAGGTCGCAAAGCTAGGCCACGGGAGAGCAGGGATTTGAGCCCAGACAGTCTGGTTCCAGACCTCATGGTTGCTGTGGGTTGAATGCTGTCCCTCCCAAACCCATATGTTGAAGTCCTCACCCCCAGGTGCTCAGAATGTGACCTTCTTTGGAAATAGGGTCACTGTAGATGTCATTCGTTAAATTAAGATGAGGTTGTACTGGATTTGGGTGAGCCCCTAATGCAATATGACTGGTGTCCCTATTAAAGGGACATTTGGACACAGAGACGGGCATACCGAGAAGACGAGATGAAGTGACACAGGGAGAGGACAGCCATCCATACGCCCAGGAGAGAGGAGCACATCCTTCCCTCACAGCCCCGAGAAGGAACCAACCCTACCAACACCTTGATCTTGGACTTCCAGCCTCCAGAACTGAGAGACCATGCATTTCTGGTGCTTAAGCCGCTCAGTCTCTGGTCCTTTGTCAGAGCAGCTGCAGTAGACTAATGCAATGGTCTTAATCCCAAGTTAAAGCAAACGAATGAATGAATGCATGCATGCATGCATGTATGAATGGCTTGCTTTGGACTGCAATCAGAAATACCCAATCTGGGGCGCCTGGTGGCTCAGTCGGTTAAGCGTCTGCCTTCAGCTCAGGTCATGATCCCAGAGTCCTGGGACCGAGCCCCGCATCTCACTCCTGCTCAGCGCAGAGTCTGCTTCTCCCTCTCCCTCTGCCCCTTGCTCATGCCCTCTCTCTCACTCTTTCTTTTAAAAATAAATAAAATAAATAAAAAATTTTAAATAAATAAATAAAATCTTTTAAAAAAGAAAAAGAGAAAGAAAAAAAATACCCAGTCTGCCATGCACCTTCCAATCCTTGTGCCCTCACAAGCCCCCGGCTCCCTGTCCATCACATCTGGCATGTTTATGTTGGTTTTTTTTTTTTAAGATTTTATTTATCTATTTGACACAGACTGAGAGATAGTGAGAGAGAGAGAGAGCACAAGCAGGGGGAGTGGCAGGCAGAGGGAGAGGGAGAAGCAGGCTCCCCGCTAAGCAAAGAGCCCCGAGCAAGGAGCCCGATGCAGGGACTGAATCCCAGGACCCTGGGATCATGACCTGAGCTGAAGGCAGCCGCTTAACCAACTGAGCCACCCAGGTGCCCCATATCTGGCATGTTTAAAAGGAGAAAGAGCAAGGATAGGTAAATTGATGACACTGGATTCATTTGACAAACGTTTCCTGGGCACCTCACACAGGCATGAGCTTCTTAACAAACAGGAAGAAAGTTCCATGCCCCTGTTTCTGTGTCCAATTTGACACGGGGCTGAAGGGTCTAGAGAGCTCACCCTTGCCTCACTAAGCAGCCTTGGGGTGGGCGGCGGAGGGCGTCCCAAGGGTGTCTCAGCAAGATCACTGCTGAGCAAAACTGGACAGCAGAGGGCGCCATTCACAGTTGCTCATCAAGTGCTCACTTCAACATCCCCCTGCCAACTCCCACCACCTGGTCCAGTCTTCCTCATTTGCCAGCAAGTTCTACGTACCCCCAGGGATAGTAACAGCAACAATGGCACCTGACTCTGTAGGCACAGCTGATTCAGTTTTCACAACCACCCCATGAGGAAGTACCAGCAACATCCCAACTTTACCCATGAGAAGAGACTCAGAGAGGGCAAGCCACTGCCTCAAGGCTGCACAGCGAGGAAAAAGCCCCAGTGTCAGACAAATCGTTCTATTGCTCCTAAACCCCTCTTGGCCTCTAGGAATGCAGCTTTAAGTTTTCAAGCATCTGTAGCCTTGTTTCCCCACTTCTCTGGGCTCTCTGCTTCCAGAAACTTCACTGCTGTATAGCATACAACTTGGAGATGGGGGCCTTCTTGGGCTGAACATTCCTGAGTCTCACAGGGGTTGCTTGGGCATTATTTTCACCCCTATACACACACCCAGCCTCAACAGCTCAGTAACAAGGGGACTGAAATCTGAGTTCTTGATGTTCCGCCCAAACCACTCACTCCAGGTGACCGTGGTCTCACCTTGAGTCCCAGGGAATGGGAGCAGAAAGGGCCTTTGACACTTTGTAGCGCCAGGTTCAAATGCAAATGTTTTCCAGGATCAGATGGGCAGTTTAAAGACTGAAGGGAGCCTGGTATGGTGCAGTGGGGAGGGGTGGGGCCTGTGGCATCAGGAGGGAGGGCGACGTCCCCCTTCGGGGGCAGCCCCTTCTCCACCCACTCTTGCTATTTGGGAAAGTGGAGCTCTGTTTTCAACCAGAAATCTGGATTTTTACGTGAAACCTTCAAATTTTTAAAGGTTGGGGACTACTTCAACATTTTTTTTAAGATTAGGAAAAAAAGAAAAACACCTAAAAAACCACGAAACAGTGCACGGGCTGGCGCCTATGCGAAGGCCATCAGTTTGCAACCTCTGACCTATCCCAGCCCTTCCTCCGCTCCATTTTCCTGATAGGAAGACCAAGACCCTGGAAACAGTTCCATCAACACAGTCAAGGCCCCACCTCTCGCGAGGCTCCTCACTTTCCTCTTCTGGAAAGTGGGGCTCCTCACCCTGGCTCCCCTGGTCCTGTGTCAAGGGAACAAAGCCTGATGCGCACCCGAGTGCAATGCCTGGAGCTGGACAAAGCTCCTCGTGCCGAACAAGCCGGGAGCCCTGGGGGCAGCTCACGGGGGCAGCATCTCCTCTCCCTCCTCAGCAAGTCTGCTCTCCCTGGGCCTTCAGAGGCACCTGCTTCGGCCCAGCTCCTGGCTGGCAGGTGCACTGCAAATCCCAGACGGCCTTGCAGCTGCCTGGGGCCACCCACCTTCTTGCACACGTAGTCGTTGGGCAGGTAGACGACAGAACGGAGCCTCTTCAGCATGTCAAAGATCAACTGTCGGTCACAGCCCTGTCCCCAAGAGGAGGGGGAAAGAATGCCCGTTTAGAGGAGGGTGGGGGCTTGGGGCTCCCCAGAACCCCGGGGGCAGGGGTGCTGGGTGCGCCGTACCTGGAAGAGAGCCACTTTGCTGACGATGTTATAGTTCACGTCGATGGCGAGGTCCAAACGCATCTTGTCTGGAAGCTGCACCATCAACTCTGACTCGTCTGCAAAGGAGACACTGACAATGATCAGAGGCACATCCCGGCCTCCACCTGCCACCCCTACACACGCACACACGGGGCCCTGGCCACACCACTCTTCTGTCCCTCCAGAGCCACGCTGTATTGCGAGAGTCCCCCGCTCCGGGCTTTTCGGATGCTATTCCCTCTGCCAGGGAACACCCTCGTGTACTTCCCTGGTTAACTTCTACCCATGCTTCAGAACCCAGGACTACTGTCACCTCCTCCAAGAAGCCTTCCCTTGAGACCCGCACACCAGCTATTAGGTTCAGCAGTCTCTGTGCTGATCACACCCTGTATGGCAATGGTTCGTTCATGCTAGTCCACGCTTCTCACACTCTCAGAATGTTAGCAGGGACGAGGGTATATCGAACACTGTTTTTACAGAGCGCTTTACAAAGATGGTTGTATTAAATCCTCCCAACAACCCGACAGGTGCCCACTACTGTAATGCCCACTTTACGGAAAGGGAGGCTCGGGAGGGCAGGGACCTGCCCATAGCCTCACAGCCCAAGGGGAATGGAGTCGGTATTCCACCCGGGCCGTGGGGCTCCAGGGCCTGTCCCAGAATAGCAGGGGCTGAGTCTGTTTTGTCCATGATGGAGTCTGCAGTGCCCAGCAGAGAGCCTGGCATGGAATGAATGTCGGTACTAGGGACAGGAAATGCACTAACTTGACCCCCAATCCCAATGCCCCTCCCACTGCACCACAATCGTTTGTGGGCTCAAGTGTGGATCTGCACGGCCCTGGGCAGGTGGAAGCCCTCTCTGGCCCTTCATGTGTGCCTCTGTGGAAGGGGGCAATGATTCGGATGTCACAGGTCTGTTCCTGGAATGGAATGAGGTGCTGGATGGGGACCATGCCTTGTACAGAGTGAGTGAGCCAGCAAAGGATACCAAGGACACCTCGACCACTTGGCTGTCCACAGTTGTGACAGCACCCTCAGCTCAGGAGAACCTGGAGCTGAAGTGTGGCTTCTTTGAGGCCAGAGGGAACCCCTGGAAGCAGGGGGGCCCTTGAACTAGCTGAGAGCATTGAGGGGTCCTAAGACACAGTGCCAGTGGCCGCCGGCTTGTCAGGGGCCCCCAGAATGATGTCTAAATTCTGAAAACAAAAGTACTAGCTCCCAAAGACAGAAAAAAGAGAGAGACTGGGGGGGGGGGGCGGGAATTGTGACTTAATTAACATATAAGTAGCATATTCCCATTTCATTAAGGGTTCCATTTAGAATTCAGGAAAACGTCACTACATTTGAAAACAGTGCACAGGTAAGATTCTCCCACTTCGCAGGAATTACTGAGCGCACCCCATCATTGACAAGAAAGCAGAAACAGTGGGGAGTTAAACGCATTGTTGCGGCCAAAGAATTTCAGAAGAAAAGCATAACATCAACAAATTTACAAAAACTTTATGTGTATGGGCACGTGAGTGGCTCAGTCAGTTAAGTGTCTGCCTTCAGCTCACATCATGATCCCAGGGTCCTGGGATGGAGTCGCACATCGGGCTCCTTGCTCAGTGGGGAGCCTGCTTCTCCCTCTGCCTGCCACTCTCCTGCTTGTGTTCTCTCTCTCTCTCAAATAAATAAATAAGATCTTTAAATATATGTGTGTGTGTATGTGTGTCTATGGAAAGAGGAGAGAGAGGGTCTTCCTTCTGTCCTGATTTCAGCTGTACTTCCATCTCTGATGGGGATGCATTTCAAGGCAGGGGAAGGGAGGGGAGGCAGGGTGTCCAGAAGACAAGGCTCTCAAGCCTTCAGGGGTCTCCTGACGGCCCAGCTTGGGGCACCGCATGGGCCTCCCTGGGTGCCCCTCACTTGAATATGTTGGGGCCACAGCCAAGAGGCCCCAGTGCTCAGGACCTCAGGGACATGGGTCAGAGGCAGGGCCCTGGGAGGAGGGGGCCAGAGGATAGCTGGTGGCAGCCGTGGGCACTTGTCTTACCCAGCATGCCTTGGGACTGCCAGGTGTACTCGTACCAGGTCTTGACCCGGTTCTGCACGGACCTGGGGATCTTGTAGAAGTTCATGTACTTCACGGTGCTGTCCATGCAGCTCCGGTAGTAGGTCTGCCCAGCTGTGGCGGCCCCCACCACGTCTCTCATCTAGGCGCAAGGAGGAAGCATCGAAGGGCAGAGTGGGGCTTTGGGGGACGGGGTGTCACAAGCACATGGACTCTATTCAGACCGGAGGTGTGCGAGAAGGGGGATCAGGAGAGAGGGAGACCCATGTCCACACACAGAGAAGGTTGCCGATGGGAGAAATTCTGCCCCCAGAGTGAACACGGGACGGGAGGAGTGAGGCTGCTGAGTGCAGACCCGCTAGGAGGAAATGCCTCGCTGGGCTGGGCTGAGTCTGGTACGACCTGGCCCCTCGGTGCCAGAGGCCACTTTGACATCACTGCAGGAAATGTGAACCCGGTGTACTACTCCTCAGGGCAGGACCCAATTCTGAGGCCCCCTGACCGTGGCCTCATGCACTGATTAAAATAGGAGACGCACCCCTGCACGTTAGACATCCTCAGGGGTTTCTCTCCGAGGGAACAGCCCAAATCCCCAGCCTTTGCAGAAAGCCATTCAGCCCAGCTCTCCAAAGACATCCCAAAGGGACCAACCTTTCCAGTGGAAGCAACCGTAGAGAAGAATGGGACCTAGACCTCCACCCCCATCCCCTTCACCCAGCAGGTCCCAGAGCTCCAGGCTCCTGAGTCCAGGTCCCGTGGTGTTTCCTGGACTTAGTCCGAAACGAATGGCCACAGATGATGACATTTCTGGCAGCAGCGGGAGGGAGGGGGTCCTGCAGGCTGGTGGGGGGCAAGTCAGACTAGTGACCCAGCTACCTGTCCGATCATCACAGAGAAAGCGAAGACACCCGTGAAATAGTTCAGCCCCTGGAAGATGATTTCAAAGACCGTTCTGGGGTCAGGCAGCCCACCAATGGTGATGAGGGTCTTCACAGCCCAGTAGTAACAGCGAATGTAACTAGAGAGGGAATAGGAAAGAGACCTCAGTCAGCAAAGCCCCCCCCCCCGCCCGGTGAGCCTGGGTGGCCTGCTCTAACAGATGTGCAATATGCACATCTGTTTCTACGTGCAAGGAAAACAGCCTCCCACCCACAGAGCATGCGGTCTGCAGACTGTATTCACAGATGCAGAGACATGTTGTCACCTCCATTTACAGATGTGGAAATCAAGGCTCCAGGAGATTGCTAGAAAGACTTGGCAGGAGGGAAGACCAGGGTCTTCTGACTTCTGATGTCTGGGCTCCCTCAATATTCTTTCAATTTCCACTAACTTCCCTTTGTCATCCCACCATGTTGGTTCATGGGAAGCAAGAGTGACATTGAACTTGGAAGACATCTCGAGGACTACGTTTTCTGACCCTCTCCCTTGCCCATCCCTTTCCCAGACAGGGAAACTGAGGCCCCAGAAGGCAAAGGAAGCACTCATGGTCACCAGTAGGCCAGGTCCAGAGCTGGGATTAGAATTCAGTCTGTCATCTGCTTCTCTGAGTTGTCACCCACAGTTGGTAATGTCGCTCCATGGACGCAAGAACCAGGGAAGGGAGGTATGGGCACAGGAGATGCCCCGAGCTCATCTCATTATCACAGAGAAGTAAGAGTCCCTCATACATCTGTTCACACCTTGAGGCTGGGCCCTCCCAGGGGTCAGCAATGAGTGACGTCACCAGGGCTCAACGACAGGACAATCCCAGCTGGCTTTCCTGTGCCTTCCTGTCTTCCTACCTGGGCACGCAGGAGGCGTCCAGAGCCTGCGCTGGCCCCAGTGTCCTGATACACCCGCACTTCTGAGGTCCTTGCTCAGCTCCAAAATCAAGACCATCATCCGGCTGGCAAATCATCTAGTCTGGGGACGACCCCAAACGGGTCCTCGCCTGGGCTCTGTTCACCGCTATTTATGCAGAGTCATAGTTAGAACATGGGCTCTAGATGGGACTGCCTGGGCTCACACTCAGCTCTGCCACTTATTCACCACCTAACGTGGACAAATTACTAATCTCAGCAAGCCTCGGCTTCTTTCTCCTAAAATGGACATGGCAGTAGCACATCCTTCATGGGGGATCGTGAGGACAAAATGAGGTCCTAGAAGAATGCCTGGGACATGACGGGCTCTCAATCAATGTCAGCCACCACCTTCTCTGTCGCTGGTACCTGCCACATGTCTGCGGTTAGGGAACATCAGACTCACCTGTGTCCTCAAGAAGCTCACCATCTAGTGGGGACAGGCAAGAAATCGTGCAGAGAGCACTGGGAGGGGGAGGCAGAGGTTGTTGGGGCTCTGCCCCTGACTACTAGCTGGGAGGCCTGGGGCTGGGCGCTGGACCACCCTGCACCTCATTCCCACCTGGTGCATAGAAACAGGACAACATGGGCCTCCCCCATAAAGACCCCCATCATGCTGTTCCTGGCCACCAGAGGGCGTGCAAAGCAGCCCTAAGCAGGGACTGAGCTGAGCGCTGTCTGGGGAGCAGAGTGGGTGCTCCTGGACCCCCAAGAGAAAGGGGACAGGAACAATGTCCCCAAACCTTCCCCCAAACTCTTTCTGATTGGAGATATTCTATTGGCATGGCACGTCTTAGGGGTCTCCCTGAAGTCCTCGTGTCTTCCATGTTACTGGGCCTGTGGGGACCCCCTGCATGCTCCAGGCCAGGCAGAAGCAGAACAGGATGAGGGACCCAGGTATGTGGGAACTTGGGTCCTCAAGCCCCTGGGCCAGAGCAAACACTCAACAAATGGTCTCTATTTTGAAAGTGATTATTACCCGTGATACTGGACTTCTGGATGGATCCTTCACTCTTTGTGCTTTTTTGCACATATTGGGGGTTCCCTGTAGGATTTTCATCTGGAGAAGAATAAGACTGCTAAGACAGCGTCCCCCTTCCAAGTCGCTGCAGAAGGGAGTCCCTGTCCTCCCCTTCCCTGCTTGCCCTTCCACCGCAGGCCTGCCCGTGATGGGTGTGCCAGGCCCAGTCCTGGGACCAGGGTTCTCAGCTTGTTGGGCACAAACCTCTTTGAGAATCTAAGGAAAGCTAGAAACCTTCTCCTTAGGGAAGCCAGCATGTCCTCAAAATTTAGCTCCAATTTCCAGGAGGGTGGTGGTGGGACCCCCGTCCATCTCTGGATCCCGGCTTAGGAACCCCTCTCCTGGTATGCTGGCTTCCCCATAAGAATGACCATAGCTAGGAAATGGTCACTGACTCCTGTCCACATGCTACATACATGAGTTTCTCATTCCTCGCAAGAAATCTGAATGTAATACTATGCTCAGGTTGTAGAGGAGAAACTAAGTCTCAGAAAGGGGAAGGGCCTCAGCCAAGGTCACAGAGCAAGTTCTTCCCTTCCCAGGACTCCTGTCCCTTAAGCCTATGCCCTGGCTCTCCAGGCTCACACCCCTGACCTGGACCCCAGGTGCTTCTGCTGCCCTTCCCGCACTGCCCTCCCTCCCCCTGACCACACCAACCCTTTGTCTGTTGCTCCCCGTAACTGGTTCCTCGGCTTCCCCCCCTCCCCCCCGCCCCCGTCCCCCCAGGCCCTCCTCCCCTCTCCTCCCCAGCAGAGTCATCTTTCTGAGATCCCTCTGGGTCCTGTCATCTTCCTGCTTCCAAGGTTTGGAGGCAAGAGGTCAGAGGGGAGCTGGGTTATCTTTCCATACCCAACCGACCTTTAAAATTATGGCAGCCTACGGGAACGTCCTGCACTTTCCCACCGACTCTTCTGGAAACCTGGAACTGCTCTAAAAAAATAGTGTACTAATGATAAGAATAATAATTTTTTTTAAATCTTAAAAACGTTCATATCCTTGGCCAGGCCATCCCCCTTTAGGAATTTATCGTGAGGAAACAATCAGGCCAGAGGACAAAGATTCAGATACAAAGATGTTCACTGCAGTGTCACGCGCCGGACTGAGGAACTGGAGACCCTTCAGTGCCCAGGGATGAGGCCATAATTAAATAAACACTGGCCTCTCTGCATGGAGAGGGCATCAGTATCATGGTTTTTTAAAAAAAATTAATGATGGGCAAATATGCACGATATCATGTTATTCTATATCCCTGTGGGTGACATATTTTTCCACATTTTCACATTTCGAACATTGGGATGGATCTTACAATCTATGTGTCCATTTATTGTAATATTTCTTTTTTTTTCCCAAAAAGCTGCATTGACTCAATGTGTCATAGAAGGAACTGCATCTTAGAAGCAAAGAAATATAGTGAAGAATGTTTCTGATACTTCTTCAGTAATCAGAATAAATAGATATGAAACAAAGAACAGCAAAAAAGAACTCCATGCTGGCTCCCCATTGCCTAGAACAACGCTGTTATCCCATAAAAATACGATGCGACCCACCTACGTAATTTAAAATCTTCTAGTTGCTACATTTTCGCAAAGTCAAAAGAAACAGGTGAAATTTATCTCAAAAACAATCACTTTTTAGTGACCCAAAATATCAACATTAATATCATTTCAACATGTAACCAGTATTTTAGGCATCAGTAATAAGGCAGTTGACATGTTTCTTCATATCTTCTGAACCTGTATTTCACATCTCAGTCACGCTGCGTTTCAAGCACTTGGTGGCCCCCTGTGGCTAGTGCCACCGTATCGGATAGTCCCCACCACCATCCACGATGGCTCCCAGAGCCCTGACTCCGCCATTTTGCAACTCTGCGCCTTTCTTCCGGCTGCTCCCTCCCCCACAGCTTTCTCTGCCCCTTCTCTCCACCGACCAAGGCCAAAATCAAACGTGGCTTTTTGGAATTGACTGTCCAGTGCTACCTTCCCCATGCCTCTCCAGCACCAGGCAGAGCTTATGCTGGTTAAGAATGCAGCCCTGGGGGGCGCCTGGGTGGCTCAGTTGGTTAAGCAACTGCCTTTGGCTCAGGTCATGATCCTGGAGTCCCTGGATCGAGTCCCGCATCGGGCTCCCTGCTCGGCAGGGAGTCTGCTTCTCCCTCTGACCCTCCCCCCTCTCATGTGCTCTCTCTCATTCTCTCTCTCTCAAATAAATAAATAAAAATCTTTAAAAAAAAAAAAAAAAAAGAATGCAGCCCTGGGTTCAAATCCCAGCTCTGGAACTTATGAGCTAACTGTGTGACCCTGGGAAGTGACTTCCCATCTGTTACCTCCTCTATACGATGGGAATGATGATAGTGCCTATCTCGAGTGATGACTGGAAGGATTAAGTTACTGTGTTAAGTAGTTAAAGCAGGGCTAGTACAGAATAAGCGTTCTCTGCTCTAAGTGCTTGCTGCTATGATCAGTAGTAATACCATTGTCATTGTCCTTACTCGAGCATGTCCACAATGTATGGCAGCTGTCTGGGTTGGCAAGCAGGTTTCACCTTGTTTTCCAGCTCCCGCATGGCTAGTGATGCCCAGGGAGCTATGCTGAGAAGTGTGTTCTGGCCTCCTTCCCACTTGGCCGTGTCCATGGGAGAGAGGAGTAGAGGCACATGGGAAGCGAAGGTGCCAACTCTACTACACTTTAGGAGGCTGAAAGGATCTCTCTAGCAAGTCTTGTTCCTGTCTGTGCCCCTCTGTGCCTGGCACACGGCGGGGGCTCAGGAAATGTTAGCTCAGTGAGGACGCAGAGACATGGTCCTCAAACTTCCTCGGGAGCAAGACAGCCTCAACAACATGGCAGCAACGGCATCTCTTTCTAGGACTCTCCGTGAATCATAGCCCCAGGAAGAAGAGTGTGGCTCACCTGTTTCCCACGCCATCGTAAACCCAGTGAGTGGAGCCGATGCCCTCATAGGCTGACGCCCAGTAATACAGACATGAGTTCATGTGTAGGCTGTACAGCAGGTAAGCCGTAGTCCTGATCACCCTGCAGGAGAAGGAAACGCATGAATAGAGCGGCAGGGGGGCGGCCATGACCTCTCACCCCAAGGGTAGGAACTGCAGGGAATAAGCCCACCTTCACCTCCCCTGACACCCGCCTTGGACATGCCCCTGGTGGAGCGTCACAGCCCTGGCCCGCTGCCTGGCAGGATGGACACCTGGCAGACACCTGGCCGGATGGACTGGGCCAACCGCATGCTCTTCGGAGACTTCGCCAGCTAGGGATGGTGGCATGTGAACAGCGAGTTGTCCAGGCCAGGGGCTGGGATGGCCCTGAGTTCTGTGTGCAGACAGTGCTGGGGGAGTGAAGGACAGGGAAGGACAGCGGAGGCTGTATCCTTGGAAAGGGGCGGGGAAGGGACGGACGCGTGCAGGGAAGGGCCCCTCTGTGAGCGACATGGAGAAGCTTTGTCCCTGCGTGTGGCCTGGCTGGGCTTGTGCCCCACTCTCCGACATCAAGAGATGGCCCACTGTCCTTACCAACACCCCCCTGTGTTCGAGCTGGATTGAGGGGCCCAGTTCCCTGCGCTGAGATCAAAATGACACCCGGCTCCCTGGAAATAGCGGTGAGCCATGCATACGAACCTCTGTGTGCCCTCCGCACAATTGGGGGAAATGGGACATTCCTGGCTCTCTAAAAAAACAAACATCCCTTCAGAGAAGGGCCAGGAAGAGGCCTGGCTTCCGGTAGCACTGGGGCCTGCGGGGCCAGAGGAGCTTGAAAGGGGAAGAAATATGAGTAGAGAACGCCTTGCTCTGTTACTGCGAAAGGCCCATGTCGTGTGCGTGTGTTTCTCACCTGTAAATATAGGCTTTGCTGAGGATGGATTCCAGGCGGCTGTTAAACTCGAAGAAGGCCATGTACTGGGAGGAAGAGCAAAGCATCAGGACAGCCCGCCGTCGGTGGGGTGGGGTGCTACCCTTCCCTGTCCCCCAGTGCAGAGGGCTCTTTCTGCAGCGCCCCCCAGAGGAGGCTGGACAGTGAGCATTCAACATCAGAGGTCCGTAGCCCTCTGAGGGGTGGGGGCCAGAAACTCCATTTACCAATCCGCGGGAAACCGTGACCCCTCTTCCCATAGAAATTACACCTAGTCCTGTTCTCGCAGCTTGCCGATGTGTAAGGGGACTCCTAGACCTCCTGAAGCCTAGCATGACATTTTCAGGGGTACACACATCTCAGGTTAAGGACCCTGTTTGCAACGTTTACTTATAAAGGAAACCATTTTATAAAGAAACAGCATCCCTACCATCCCTTACTTGGATCCTTCAAAGGCTTGTCTATAATAATAAAAGTATAATAGTAGCTGCTCTTTTTTTTTTTTTTTTAAAGATTTTATTTATTTATTTGTCAGAGAGAGACATAGCGAGAGAGGGAACACAAGCAGGGGGAGTGGGAGAGGGAGAAGCAGGCTTCCCGCTGAGCAGGGAGCCCGACGTGGGGCTCGATCCCAGGACCCTGGGATCACGACCTGAGCCGAAGGCAGACGCCCAACGACTGAGCCACCCAGGCACCCCAATAGTAGCTGCTCTTCTTTACTGAACACCTTTGATGACTGCACTTTATATTCATTACCTTCTTGCTTATTTACACGTGAGGTACGTGGTAGCATTCTCCTTTTACAGAGAGGACACTGGCACTTCGTGACGTTGAGTCACCTGCTCAAAGCACACAGCTGCTAAGTGACAGAGGCAGGATTCGAACCCAGAGGACACTCAAAGCGGCAACATGCCGCACACGTGTTGTTGGACATTGGAGAACGACCGTGAGGGAAGTTCCCTGAGCCATGGGCTGGTCGTCCTCCAGGGGGTCCTTCTGAAGTCTCTCCAGGGTTTACATCGGATGCAGGGGGCTGTGGGCTTGGATCTCCCTCCACTAAGGCTCAGAGTTGTGTCCTGAGTCATGCTAAACACCAGATATGGATCCCATTGCTATGGGGGGGGGGCGGTGGGGGGGGGCGGTGGTAAAACTCGGCTTGTGGGTCCACAATTGGTCTGCCAGGAAAACCCATTTGGGGGATCCCAAGTGCTCTGACTGGCTGTCGACCCTGGCCACATTAAAAGGACCACTGCCTGGTCTCTCCTTTACCCTGTGTCACCTTCACGGGGACACCGGCTCTGCCCCAGCGGCAGGAAAGATAGCTGTCATGACACTGAGCAACAACCAACAATGAGAACAGGTATCGGGCTGCACGTCCAAATCTATCCCGGGTACTTCCTGGCTCCTGTGACCTTGGGCAAGTCACCCAAGCTTTTCAAGCCTCCATGTCCCCATCTTTTAGACGCAGACCATCATAAAGCAGAAGTCCCTCTGTTGTGTTTCTATAATTACTGAAAGCATAGACCGTGGAGGCAGACTGCCTGGGTTCAAACCCAGACTCCATTCCTTCCTACCTGTGTGACCTAAGGCAAGTTACTTAACCTCTCTGGTAAAATGCTGCTATTAACAACACTCATCTCTGTTAAACTGTGGGGTTGAGGAGTACGTACTTTTTAAAGCTTCTGGAATAATCCCTAACACACAGCACAACGAAGAATCTCTAACACTTTTAAGGAACTTCCCATGCCCCCTGGGGCCACCCTGATGCCCTCCCACCCCGCCCCCGCTCCCCAGTGCTGCTCAGGGCAGACATCAAGATGCCAGTGCAGAGCACGGGAGAGCTGAAGGCCCTGGATGGGAAGCCTACCTTCAAACAGCGGGGCAAGCGCAAGAGGGGATTCACACCGAACTTCAGGTAGAGCAAGTCCAAGGGCAGGAGGCAGAGCATGTCCATCTGAAATCCCAGTGGGACACCGCAATGTATAAAACAGGCCGCCCCAGGGAGTTGGGAGGTAAGGGGAGTGACAGGGTCTCTACCTTCCCTGGAAGGGTGAGGTCAGAATGCCCCAGCAGTGGGCAGAGAGCATTTTACCCACAAGCCTCCGTTTGCCTACCCAGTGTCATTCTGGGGGGAATCACATCGCACCGGCCCCAAAGCACCCAGGGCCCCCAGCAACACCACCTTCCAAGCCCCGGCGGAAGCTTGCACCCTTGGCACACACCTTAAAGCGATGAGATTTCAGGTAGTTATTGCGCATCTCCTTCTTGTCCATCTGAAAGAAATGGAATACTGACCATGAAACGGCCTGAGAGCTTAATCCCTGACCCCGTGGGAGCAGCATGGACATCCCTGCAGAGTTTCCACCTTCCTATCAGAGTAACAGCCCTGGGGACCAGCGGAGCTTTGGGGAAAGAAAGACTCAGGGTCTGCAGGCAGTGAGGCTGGACCTCTGGGAGAGGAGGCTGGACCTCCTGGGCGAGGGGGGGAGTTGTCCAAGGTCATCTGGCTAGATTCCGGTTTCCTAGCTGGAAAGTCAATATTAGGCTCATTCTCTTAGCACGTGTGTCTTACCTGGACCATTTGCAACCTGGCTTACTGAGGAACCGCCTCCTGCTCTGATCAGGCTGGGGAAAGAGGCTGCCCAGGGAACTCTTTTTCCTTTAAATTGTTTAAGAGACACAACCCCAGCCCTCCTGCACACAGAGGAGCAGGCCCCACCAGCGTGGCATTTTGGAAAGTGACCTGCACAGAGAGATAGGGACTGGGCCCTCTGCCTTCGCCAAGTCAAAATCCGGACTCAGTTTCCTCCCTGGGAGGTGGGGTCTGCACCAGGGCACAGGGTCCGATGCCGGTCCAAGCAGCGTGCTCTTTGCAGGACCCCCTGCCCCAGGAAATGCCGTTCACCCACAGCTCCCGTGCTGACCGCTCTGTGGACACCATCTCAATCCACCCTCACTGCAACGCTATGAGGTAGGAACAATGACTTCCCCCATTTTACAGATGAGAAAACTGAGGCTCGGGGCGGGAGGGCTGCAGCTAGTGGTGGTAGAGCTGGGATTTGAACCAGGTCCATCTAAGGGTTGTTCTCTGGTCCTCTTTCCATCTTTAATTCTGTCAGGTCCTGCAGGAGCCATTTGACCCATGAGCAATATTCGTGGGTGTAATTTGAACAAGGACGGGCACACGTGCCCGAGATCTTGTTCCCTTGTCTTGTCTATCAGAGCAGCAGCTGGGGTCAGACTCCCGAAGGCCCTGCTGCAGGGCCTGCCCCCCCGGCCCCGCCACCTGCCCGGGACTCACAATGATGTCTCCCCCTCTGACAAACTGCAGGCGAGGCTGGAACACGGTGATGTCCAGGAGGTAGATGAGGTCACACAGATAGTCCATCAGCAGCCAGAGGAGGATGTTGTCTGGCGTCTGGTAGGGGAAGGCCCAGCGCACAGGAATCAGCCAGCAGTTCCAGTTCCAGGCCAGCACCACGAAGAACAGCCACAGGATGTACATCAGGTCTGCGGAGGGGAGCGAAGGGGCAGGAACGCGCTAGAACGGCCGTTGGAGGAGGGCTCCTCTCAGGAGCATCAGGGTAGGGCTTCCTTCTTTCCGCTCGTCTCTTCCTAGACGTGTGTGTGCCTGTGAGTGTGCGTGTGCTTGTGCGTGTGTGTAAAACTATCTCTGATATAAAAACAAATTCCTGCCAGGCCCTAATAAACCAGAGTCCTCAGCAGGGGGCACAATGGGGGCATTATTAGATAATAGGCAGCTAACTAGAAAACACTTTTGCTCTCATTCTTATTGAAATAGTTCCAACAATGTCTTTCCTGCTTTAGTAAATACGCAATAGTAAATAACGCATAGAACATGGACACACAGACGGGTGGAGGGATGGATGGGTGGATGTCGTGGGTCACGTGGTCATTTCAGAGGCCCAGTGGACACCAGGGTTGGCGTCCTGTCCCCCCAGGACTTGTGTGACCACAGGAAGGTCTCTCTCTGGCACCTACCCTGCCTCCCTGGGGAAGGCACAGGAGAGGTCAGCTAAGAAAGGCGGGGAGGTTCTTCGTCACCTGTAAAGTGCCGTGCCCATAGGACGGGTTGTCGTTCCCGAGGAATAGAACGTGTGAGGGGAATTCACTTTAGATGTCACAAGAATTTCTGCCCTTTTCTGCTCAGAGCAGCAGCTCCAGGAAGGGGCCGTCAAGAGCAGAGTAGAAGGCAGCCTTGGCCAAGAGACAGGGCTCCCGGGTCTGCCACTAACTAGTCGTGCCTCAGTTTCCTTGTCTGTAAGGTGGGGGTGATGGTAGGTTCCTAGTCAGGGCTTTTGGTTTGTTCGCTCCTGACGTGCCCTTGCACTCCCCCCGCTTCTCCCGCTCGTTCTCCTGCCCTCGCAACAGTATGTGGCGGGGGCAAGGCCCGGGCCCACCCAGGACTCACTGGTCAGCGGGTCGATGCTCTGGGGAAACCGGTACGTCTTCCACGGGCGGCGCTTGAACTTGCAGCAGAGCATGTCGCAATAGTGCTCCTCCTCCGCCTGGTCCGGCCCGGCCGGCTTCACTGCCAGGGCCGGCTCTGGGGCTTTCTTGGCCGGGGCTGCGGGATGACATGGTGACCATCTGACCCAGCCCTGAGGCTCGGGCAGAGGCTACAGAGAGAGGCCAACCAACTACAGACTCTGCAGCTGGAGCCGAGGGGACCCTGGCGCCACCCCCAAAGCTGCAGTCAGCTCTGCATGCGGAAACCGGGGTACTCTCCGCAGCAAACCCCACGGCACCCGGCTGGACACTCTTACCAGCTACTGGTCTGGAACTGTTTCTCAGGAGCTGCCCAGAATGAAGTGTCTCTGGGCGAGTTAGGTGTTTCCAAAAGTCTGTTTGTGTGTCTGTGTTTGGACCCCCTTGGTTCTCTTGGGAGGGCTGGGGGCGTTTCCTACCCCAGACCCCTGCCACCGAGGGCCAGAAACCAGGGAAATCTTGCTCTGGGTTTCTCAGAGCAGGAACCTGAGCTCCTTCATCTCTGAAACAAGACACTGAAGGGGACCACAGCCTCTCTGTGCATCAAAGGCGATGGTGTTGGTGACCTACAGATTGACTTTTGTAGGTTCAATACGGTTGTGTTTCTAGCTTGAGGACTGTGGATCCAGACCCTGCTAGGTCCATTGTTGGCGCCCTGGACTCTGAGGCACAGTCCTCCTCTGGAAACCCTCCCTGGCAGGAGAGCACTTCTCTCATTTCCTCTTGGAATCTTGAAAGCAGGAAACTGTCAGGTAGCCCCATGAGACTATGGCAAATGAGGCCTCCGAAAAATAAGACTAAAAAAAAAGTGGGGTGTGGACGCCATCTGTGTGTAAGGCCATGAGATGCCTCCCAGGCTGGACCACCTGCCTGCTAGTGGGAAAGGGCCGGAAGGGTCGAGGAGGGTACGTGCCCTATGGGAGCGGGAGCCAAGTAAGATCGGATCATCAGCCAGAACTTTGACCTTATTCCCTTCCCTGGTTCCATAGCTAAACCTGTACATACAGGACTCAAAAATCCAGACAGTGGGGATCTGGGCTTTTCCCAAATACCCCAACCATTTCCTTGGGGGTACCCTCACCATGAGTTTACAAGGGGCTTTAGGGGACCCATTTCAGGCGGGGTGAATCATCCCAGCTCTGAACTCACAGGGCTTAGGGCTCTCCTCATCGGAGGTGATGTCAGGGTCGATGAGCTTCTCCTTCACCTTCTCTGTCCGTTCCTTGAAAAGCTTCACCAGCTCCTGGAGCCGGTTGTTGATGATGGTGCTGTTCTGGCTGGCCACGGACACTGCGCGGTCTTGGCCACTGTGGACACACCACCCGGCGCTGCGGGGGGCTGGATGGGACGGGACCCCTGTGCCCCCCGGGCCAGAACCGAACAGCATCCGTATCCCACCCGGTCCGAAGGAGGCAAAAGCTGCCCCAGTTTCCTTCGGACACCAGAAACATCAAACCCACTTTAATAGCTCCTAGGAGGAAATTCAGTCTGCGGCTCACACCTGGGGGCCCAGCTTTTAGAAAATGTACCACGCAGGATCTGATTCAGATGGGCAGTTCTGAGAAAACTTTGATCCCACTTGCGATTTAGGGGGAAACTCTTGGAACTCAGGTCAGGACTGTTAGCCCCAGTTTGGGGTTCCCATGAGATTCGTGTCTGGGACAGATCAAAGAGCAGACAGGGCTACGCTTCTGGCTCAGGAAATAGCTGATGGAAAAAAATAGTGCAGATACATTCTATATCCTTTTAAATTATAGGAATTTAAACCGCATGCACTCGCAGCGAGAGAGACAGATGGACAGAGAGACGGACAGAGAGAGAGAATGAATGTGAGTCTGCCCGGCGCTCCACTCATAGGGCAAGTGCCCTGGGTGGGCTGGGACAGGCTGTCCTCTGAGCAGCATCTCTCTGACCATCGTGCTGAGAGGAGTGCATAGTAGTGTTTTCACATCTGTTTGTTTTCAGACACGGGGGCAGCGGAACTCAAGCCAGCTACTCCCCTGGTGCTCACTTGACGAAGTGGGCTGGAGACAAGCAGTATGGGGGTCCCAACAAGAAAGGGCGCACAGATACGGTGGAGACGCTAGCCGCTTACCCACATCTGCTCCCTCCCATGGGGAGTGGCTGCTGGGATTCAGACACCCAGCGAGGGTGGCCGGGTGGGCTCCCAGCAGGGGAACATGAGTGGACTTGCTACATGCATCTCTGGGCCCCTTGTCTGGCATTCTCCCCTTCTAGGGGTGACCAGCGGGGGCTTGGAAGCCACACAAAGGTGGCAGAGCTGCTGTCCGCAGGGTCCCTAAGTGACTGCATAGAGCAGAACCCTCCACTGACCTGAAACAGTGACATGACTGTGATACATGAGACATCTTGTTGCTTAAGCCACTGAATCTGTGGGGTCTATTTGTTACAGCAGCTGAGCCTACCTCGCTGATGCATGGACGCCCATGCTGAACTCCTTAAGAGGCTTCAAGGGTAATTTTTATTATTATAACTGACTTCTGCCTTGTTTTCTGATACTAAACTCTGACCCTATCCCTACCCTACTGTATAAGATGGGATTCCACTATATAGTCAAATGGACCAACGAACTAGGGGTGAGGTTTGGATTTTTTTCTTTCTCCTTCAACTTTTCTGGACTTTCCACAACTCTGTAAAACAAACTCCATAAAATTATGGGTAGGGGGGAAAAAAGGCTGGAAGGAAAGCCCAGTGCCTCCTGTGACCACTCCAGGAGCTGAGGCTGAGAATAGGATGAGGATCCCAGGCCAGAGCCTGGGGCCAGGGAGTCACCATCAACCAAACATCTCAGACTCTTCTGGAAAACATCTTCCATTGGCCCAGCCCTTGGAATAGTTAGATGTCAGAGCTCCAGGTCCCAATGCCCTCACTGTGGCCTCTAAACATTGTCCCACAGACCAGTTGCATCAGAACCAGCCAGAGGCTTGTAAAGGTGTGAATCCCCCAGGGCCCACTGTCTGAAGTCCTGATCCAGCGGGTCTGGGCTGGCAGATGGGAATCTGTATTTTTAACAAGCTCCCTGGGTTCAGACCCCTGGTGATCCTTGTTTTCCTCACTCCCCCTGCTGACCCTCTCAGGGGTTTAGAGCCAGGAGCCAACCTCTGCCTATGGGCCAGGAGCCTCTCCTTTACAACAAAGCCTCTGTGCATTCTGCAGACTGTACAGAACTCCTAGGCCAGCCAGAAGCAGCCTGGACAGGAGACCCAGCCCTGTCTTAATGCTCAGAGGCTGCTGGCAAAGTTGTGGCAGAGGGTTCTAGAAACGTCCATGCTCTCCCCCTCAACCCCAACCCCCTCCCCTTGCCTGCTCATCTCCACCCAGACTTCCAACTCTCTGAGACCCCAGAGGTGGTCCCCACTCACTCAGCGCCCTGTGGGCTGGCCGGGTCCAACCAGGGGACCATGGGGGACTCAGCTGGTGACAGTGCCTTGAGCTCTTCAGCCTCATCATCTTGGGAGGGCAGCCTCTTCCTGCAAGGACACAGACATGGAGGGACCTTCAGCGAGGGCAGAGGCCACAGGGGGAAGTGAGCCGACCTTGACCCCTGCAGATCACTCAGAGCTGAACCCTGGGGGTGGGGAATGGGGCAGGGGGTGTTGGTGCTGCAAAGGGTCCTCACTTGCCTGCAGGGAGACAAAAAGGGAGAAGAGAGGGACACAACCACTCTCTGGACCTCAGTCTCCACATCTGTTCAATGGCCTAGTGTAAAAGTAACAACACTGACTTGGTATCAGGCAAACCGGAGTTTGCATCCCAGTCCTACTTCCTACTAGTGTATGATCTTGGCAAGTGACTTAAACGCTCTGAGCCACCTCAGTTTTCCCGTCTGTAAAATGGAACTAGATTTACTCAACTCAATGAGATACTCAGGACTCAGTGGGCCTCAGCTTAAATGTTCTGCTTTCCCCTCCCAGTCCCCAGCACACCCCTCCAGGCTCCCTATCTGAGGAAGGAAGACCAAATCCTCCCCAGGCTCCCCTGTCACTCAGTGCATGTCTGCCCCAGGGCTGTGTGTTTGGAGTCCTGGCTGATGATGTCTGGGTGGGAATCCACTTGTCATTCTTCCCATCCTCAACCATCGCAACTCAGGATCCCAGAGGCTTCTAGAAGGATACAGATGGAGGGATGTGTAGCCTTTATTCCAGAAGGCTCTGAAACTATCCCTATGACCTCCTGCCTGCTCGCTGAGGATGGCAACACTCGCAGATTCACCTCCTTCACACTCTAATTAAAATTCCCACCATGAACACGGAGACCAGAATCTGCACAGGTGGAGGACCCAACTCAGTCCTCTTGCGCCCAGCCTGGTGCCCTCTCCTGAGTCAGGTGCCATCTCCTGCCCGACACCAGAATGTGGAACTCCATCAGCAGCTAGACTCCTGCAGCCCTGCTTCGCGTGCAGCCCTGTGCTGAGCACCTTGCACGAATTAGCTCATTGAATTCTTCTAGCAGTCTAGTAACAGGTGGTGTGTCTATCCCCATCTTACAGTAGGAACATGGAGGACTAGGAGTGTTCATTGGCTTGCCTCGAGCCTCACATCGGTAAGTGGTGAGCTGGGATTCACCTCAAACCAAGGCTTTAAGCTTTTTAAGGTTTAAGCAAACCTAGCCCATATGCCCCTCTGTCAGGGTCTGTGGTTTCCATGGCTTTTTGGTGCCTATCAGTTGCTCACAATGCTCATTCCAACCCTGACCATAGGCAGCCCCATTGGCTTCCCAAGTCAGGTATCAGAATTTTCCCCTCTCAGGGCTAAGGAGGCTCAGGTAGAGGTTCCCCTGGTTTCTCAAAGTCATGTTCAACTTAGAGCTCTCTGGGACAGTCTTGTTTGTTTATTTAATTCCTTGTTCATTGTCTGCCTCAGCCCCATGAGAACATCAGCTCCATGAGAGTAGGTCCCTGTCAGACTTCTCCTTGATGTATCCCCAGCACCCAGAGCAGAGTCTGACACATAAAGTTGTTCAAGAAATGTTTGTGAATGAGTGAATGAGTGAATGAGTCAGTGAGTGAGTGAGTGAATGAATGATAAGGACAAGAGGAGCCTTGCCCATAAACAGAAGGCAGAGGGTTTGATTCTATCCCCAAGGGAGCCTACTCCCCCTCTCTGTGCCCAGATATCCACCCCCAACCCAGCCTGTATAAAGAGAACAGAGAGAGGTAGACCAGATGTCTACAACAATATTGGCTCTGTTTTTTCTGCTGTGTTCTGCATGGTTCAATGAATGAAACAAGAGGATTGATGGAATAGTGAGCTATGTTGCAAGGCTAGATGAGATTATGACTCTTTTCTTCACATTAAAATCAGAGAGCCTTCAGTTGGCCACATCTAGCTATCTCTGTTACAATAGCCTTTTTACCTTGGCTGAGAAAGTCCTCAAGGACACATGGATGAAAGCAAAGATTAATCAAGAAAAAGGAACTATCTCCTAATCCAACCACCTCAGGAGAAGCACTGGCAGCTCCCCTGCAGCTTAAATGCAGTCATTCACAAAGCAATGCACCACACTTCACAGTTTGCCTACAGCTGTATGCAAGACCTCTCTGTTACCTGGCTCAGGTTGTTCAAAACCAACTCTAATCATGCAACAAATTTATATCAAGAAGCATAAAAATGTGCACAACCTTGACCAGGATTCCCACTTTCGAGAAAGGAGCCCAAGGACAGAGAGAAGCCCAAAGAGATGTCCATAGCTCCATTATGGACAGTGCCCAAAAAGAAAGTATTTGTTAAGTTCATTCTGGCACATGGAGCTGGAGGATGTGGTCTCAAATGAAATGTGATCCAAATCACCCCTCCAGTTAAAACCACACAAAAGCATGGGCCCATAGACAAGGTGTATAAGAGAAGGCAGTAAAATGAAATCACTACCTAGTGTGCTGGGAAAAGGGATGCTTATTTTTCTAGTGTTTTTTGGTATCTCCATTCCATTATTTTAATAATAAAACAAGGGGGTGGAAATTAGCCTTTTCACATTTACTACCCCCCTCCTATCCTATAGTTGAGGGTACTTGGGAGAGGACTTCCTTGGAGAACTCTTTATAGAGTCCTAAACCAGAGTTGAGGACCAGGAAGTGGGGCCATAGTCCCAGATCTGACTGACACCAGGTCGCTGAGTGACCTTGGGCCAGCTGCTTTCCCACTCTGGCCTCAGGCTCCCCTTCGGGCAAATGGACAGATGGCACGGTGCTGTGAAAAGCCCAAGAGAAGCATAAAAGGTGACCTTTCAGTCTCTGCAGCAGATCCCAGGACTGCAAAGGTGTCGGATTTGGCAGGAGAAGGTGGTGGCAGCTCGGGTGAGGGTGGATTCTCCACAATGAGGGGGTGGCTGTCCACATCAGCATCTTCCACCTGCACTTCCGGATGCTCTTTTGTAGCAGGCACTTGGAGAGAGGAAGGAGAGGACAGTCAGAGAGAGAGAGAGAGAAGCCGGGTCCCAAGGGCCTTGCTCCGTTCTTGATAAAGCCACAGAAAGCATGTCTGGAGGGGCCTCTGGCAGCCCCACCTCCCAGTGGGCCCCACGGGAGAGCTCCATGCAGGGGGTGCAAGAATGCAGAGCCCGGGGGCCTCTGAGGGCCTCGGCTGCCCCAGACCCCAGCCCAAGGGCTGCAAAAGAAGCCATCACACCACTGAGGCCACGGAAGCTCCTGAGCACAGCCTGGAGTCCAGCTTGCCCAAGCTCTGGTCTGCCCAGGCCTAGTGAAGCCTCAAGGACCTGGGGTTTGATGGGAGTGGGGGTGGGGGGAGGCTGGGAGAGCGCAAGTCCGAGGGCCTGGCCTAGCACAGCCTCAGCTGCGTCCCCTCGCTGGGCCTCAGTTTCCCCATCCCAAGGCAGGGGTGACAAAGGCACACGGCCTCACACTCTTGAAGGGCCTCGAATGGAGACATTGGGCAGTTTCTTGCAACCAAGGATAACAGCCTGTCCTTGGAGTGTGTGTCACCCCTGTTTGGGAATCTGTTTGGGTGTCTCCTTATTTCTGGACCTGCTGGGAGCCCCTCAAATCCATCAACTCAACTCCTCTCCTGACCTCTGAGAAGCCTGGTGCCGGGTCCCACGTCCCAAGGACCAGGTCCTCCCTGGCCAGTCTGGGGTGGTCCTGCCTCAGGCTTCATCACCCACCCCAGGGGCTGTGGGGACAGGCCTGCCTGAGGCGACGCTCAGAGGATGCTGAGGGGCCGAGACAGGGCTCCCTCTCCCGGCCACACCGGGGTGGGACCACTCGCTAAGAGCCGGGCCCAACGCACCCAAAATGAGGAGAGGGAGCATTCTGAAGCCCTTGGAGATGCGACTTTCTTTTTAAAGGGCCACCATGGGGAAAAAGCCAGCACTTCGCAAAATGTGGCAGAGGGAACCTAAGCAAGACCTTTGAGCATTTGTTGTACTAAGCCTTAAGCCCGCAGAGGAAGAGGATGAGCAGGAATGGAGAAGCTTCTAAACATTTAAGGAACAAGTGTTGCCAGACTAACAAGAGAGATACCCCCAGGCTGTGGAAAGCAGGAGAGAGCGTGAGGCACCGGGGCCCTCACCCTGCTTCCCCCGGCAGGGTGAGCTCAGCGCCCCAGACTGTCCCCACTGTAGCCCCCGGAGCCTCGGTGAGGCCGTCTTAGGGAGGCTGCGAGGGGGCAGGTGCTCCCCCACCCTGCCTCACCCTGAGCAAGACTCTGCAACCTCCATCCCCCCAGGAAAGAAGGAAAACCCCTAAGCCTGGTGTTTCATTTCTATAGAATGAGAATAATATTATGAAAAATCGAATAACATGGCATGACTACATTGGCTGAGAGAAGAGTCATATTTACGTAGAGCATGTCCTGTGTGCCTGCCTTCCATTCGTTTCACCAAACTCTTAGTGCTTTATATAGATTAAGTCGTCCCCCCTTCCCGGCCCTTCTAGAAGGCCGCTGTTATCACTGTCCCCATTTTGTGGATAAACTGAAGCACAGAAAGATGAAGGAACCGGCTGCAGAGCCAGGATTTGGACCCAGGCAGCCCAGCTCTAGCACTTAGCCTCTTCCTTCGTCCTGAGGTTGCTGACCGGCTCACAAAGGGCCTCCGTTTAAACAAAACCTCACTCGGGGCCAAGCAGCATCACTGAAATGGGATGGTGTTCTTCCTACATGCTGCCCTGCCTTATCCGCAGCATCTCACATCACCGCTGGTCATACCACCGCGGCTGGATCAGCCCACTGTCCCAACGTGGCCGTGGGACTATTTCCCCAAGTGTGGGGTTCCTGGGGACCTGGGAGGACACAAGATGGCACAGATAAGGCAAAGGAAACGTGGGACGAGAACATTCCTCCCATTTCAATCCTCTCTAGATCCTGAATGCACAGAGACGAAGTCGCAGCCTGGTGCTCCCCGGGCCCTAACACGTCTCGGACACAGCCTAATTCCCCTTTGGGGCTAAGAGGGCAGGTCTCCGCTGGGAGCCTTCAGCAGGTCCTCACCCTTCGCTGAAACGATCAGCACAGCTTCGTTTTCAGTTCATTTGCGGTTATCTCTATTCATGCCTTCTATTTATGGCAAGTGATGCTGGTTTCCCACTGGAATAGTATGGTAAAGCTTCCTGATTGAATAAACTTAATTAAATGTAAAAAATGAATCCACGGAAAGAAAAATGGCAAGCCAATAAAGGTAGAATCGGTATAGGATATAGCAAAACTTGAGAAGGGATCCGTGGGGGGTGGAAATTGGGGGATGCTTGGGAGTGAGTAGATGTAGGGCTTCCCAGAAGACCGGGCCTGGGGGTGTCCACCCTTGTGGTAGGGCCGATCACCCCCACTCTGTGCCTATTGCAAGCTGGGAAGAGAGGACAGCGGTGGATCTGTTCTTATGAAACGTTCAGTTCTGCCCGTCTACTGACTTCACAAGCACCCTTGCCCACTACCCGCCAAAATAAACAAATGAAATGGGAAAGTGAGTGGGTCTGGCTTGAGTTAAGGCAGATAGTGATAGGGGTTAGTCCAGAGCCACTCCGCTGTCCCCGAGTACTTTGTCATCAGGAAGCAAGCAGCAGGAACCCAAAGACTGTCACAGGGACCTTGTCACAACTAAATGGATCCAGACAGGCCCTCCTTCTTCACTGGTCCCTAAGACTATCCCTCTTCCTGGTCTGCCTGCAGACACCTGGGGGCCTCTCCTTTCCTGAAATGGGATTTGCTGGGCAGATATCGACAATCCCCACAAAGTCCAGCTCCCAGAAAATCCTCAAGGTCTAGGATTCTGTCTGAAATGGGTCCCCACATTCCTCTTCTGCCCCATTCCCCTCAATTTATTCTCTTCCCCCCACCCAAGTCTCTTGGCCTAGTGATCTTAGTAATTTGTTTAAGCTAGGGTGTGATTGACTACCTGTAAAAAAAAAAAAAAAAAGATGATCTGCAGAATGCAATGTTTTACCCAAAGAAATTAATTGCTAATTGTGGGATTTTAGGCACAGAGATAAGGGGACTAATATCCCTTAAGTCACCACAAAGCAAGATGAAGGCATTGACCAACAGAGGAAGGGGGTTGGTTTTCCAGGAGTTCAACTGGTGGTCCCACACCTTGACCATGGCACCCATGCGAGGAGCAGCCCGAGCCATGCAGAAGTCCACACCACAGGCACAAGCATGTTGGGTGCACAAGATCACACTACCTAGGCGACGGATGGAACTTCTGGTCTCCTTGGCGAAGCTGGAGTTGGACAAGGCCGTCCTCCGGGAGATGAGGACAGGGATGCGGGTGATTGAGGGGCGGTAGCTGGGCACATTGGGGAGGTGCTCCGCCAGAGCTGGGGGAGCAAGCCCTGGGGTCACCTGGCCAGGTGGCTGGTCCTGGACCAGGCGATTCAGCTCCACGTCCTGGCCTGGTTGAGCCATGCTGCTGGGGCCAGTGGGGGTCAGGCAGATGTGGGATCCTGGGGACTGCAACCAGGAACAGAGGGTTGGGGGGAGGCAGGGGAAGTGGGCTCCTCCCCACTAGCACCAACTCGGACCAGCCCGGTGCCCGCCCGCACTCGCGGCAGCTGCACCCAAAGCCCAAACATCATTTGTGTCCCTGGGGTCAACATCGAAAGCATCATCACGTCATGTTGGCTGGTCTACTTGGCAGCTCTGAGGGACAGCACCGGGCCCCCCAACTTCTTGTGCTTTCTCTGTTAACCAACCACCGGTGGCATTTCCCACCTCAGACGGAAAAAGTTAGAATCAGGGATGCCTGGGTGGCTCAGTTGGTTTAGCATCTGCCTTCGGCTCAGGTCATGATCCCAGGGTCCTGGGATCAAGCCCCGCGTTGGGCTCCCTGCTCAGTGGGGAGTCTGCTTCTCCCTCTGCCTGCCACTCCCCCTGCTTGTGCGCTCTCTCTCTCTCTCTCTCTCTGACAAATAAATAAAAATCTTTAAAAAAAAAAAAAGGTGCTTTTCAAAGACCAGGTGGGGAGCAAGGTTGGGACACCTGGGGTCAGGACACCTGCATCCAGTCCCGTGTCAGTCACCGGCTGGCTGGGACATGAGCATCATGGTCCCTATTATGGCCTCCTGCCTCAGTGCCACGCGGTATATTGGGTACCTTTGACACACTGTCCCCTCCTACTCTGGCCCATGCCCTATGCGGCAGGCACGACTATTGCCCTGTCTTTCTGGATTTGGGAGGCACAATTAAGAGAGGTCACACGCCTGGCTCCAGGTCCCACAGGAAGGAGGAGGGAGGAACCAAGAGTGAAATGCAGGCCTGTGCCCTTGACCGCTCAGCCACATCCTGCCCACTTGGAGCCTCAGGTTTCTCCACTATAAAATGGTCTGCCCGCCTCAGAGGGTGGCTTGAGGGACATGGAGGCCCAAAAGGCCAGGGCCCCGTGTCTGTCTGGCTCAGGCTCCCCAGCCTGGCTATCCTCGGCTCCCCCAGCCTCGGCCGCACCAACCATGGAGTTCTCGGGCTTGGGGTTGGAGGTGGTAAATAACAGCAAAGTGCGTGTGCTGGGTACAGCGTGGGGATCTGGGCAGTAAGGAAAAGCTCATTACGACACGTGGGGTCTAGGATGGGCCCTTAGCAAGCTCGGGTTCCAATTTTCACTCAGAGATGCTACATTTCAGCCAAACCATCTCCAGATGGTAGTCCAGAGAGCTGCATTCCCAGAGAGGAGTGGCAGGAGGGGCTGACCGGGAGTGGGGTTTCCACAGGCCTAATGGAATCCCAGGAGCCTCCCGTAATTCCCCTGGGGCCTTGAGATACATCACCAAGCTCTGATAATGTGGCCCCAAGATGCAGAGGATGGGTTTCGCCCGAGGATGAGGCAGGTGTAGGGGTGTGGGGATGGTAGGGAGGAAGGGAGATGGGCTGAGTGCCCTTGTCCCCAGGCTGCCCCCAGCCTGAAAGTATCCTCAACGCTCTGTGCTCCCCCCGCCACCACACACTTACCTTCTGGGCTGACAGTCACGGCCTCCTCCTGCAGCTCCTGCAGCTCCCGTACCTCCTGCAGCTCCTGCAGCTCCCGTACCTCCTGCACCTCCTGCAGCTCCTGCACCTCCTGCACCTCCTGCAGCTCCTGCAGCTCCTGCACCTCCTGCAGCTCCTGCAGCTCCTGCAGCTCCTGCAGCTCCTGCAGGTCCTGCAGCTCCCGTACCTCCTGCAGCTCCTGCAGGTCCTGCAGCTCCTGCACCTCCTGCAGGTCCTGCAGCTCCTGCACCTCCTGCAGGTCCTGCAGCTCCTGCACCTCCTGCAGGTCCTGCAGGTCCTGCAGCTCCTGCAGCTCCTGCAGACAGGAAGGTGGAAACAGAAGCTGGACCATCAAGGCTCCTCCTCGCCCCAGGCCAGCCCGGACCCTGTTGGGAGATCTGTCTTCAAGAGTCCTCCCGGACCCCAATTCTACTCCTTGCCCTGCCTGACTGCTCAGGCCCTCCCCCCACCACCTGCTGGGGCATCCAGGGAGGTGGCCCCCACCATGTAGAGGGGAGGACACCCAGGAGCCCAGCGCCCGGACTTGACACAGATAAAGGGGGGTGTGTTCTCATGTAACTCTCCCCACCTGGGCGCTGTGCATAACTGTGGGACACCCTGGGGAGGGGTTTTCAGCCCCATTTTACAAAGGTGGCCACAGAGGCCCAGAGTGGGGAGGTGACTCATCCAGGGCCACACAGCCACGTGAAGACTGGCCTGCAGGACAAGCTGCTCCACCCCGCAATAGCCCTGTCACCCCAGGCCCTCCCTGAGCCCACCTGACCCCTGGTATAAGCCAGGTCCTACAGTACCCACCACGCTACTCTCCTCTGTCCAGTGGGCATCTCGCCAGCTGAAAATCCCCCTGTAAACAAAGTACACAAAGCCTACCCAGGCCTCAGAGGTAGTCTGCTCATACCTGGGGCGAGGCCCTCTGGGGCTGGCTCCTGCCTACTTCGCTCAGGTCCTCGCCAGCCTGCGCCACCAGACAGCTATCCAGCAGGACACTGTGACCCCAAGGGGGAGGAGGAAAGGGCTAGTGTTAAGGGTGTTAGACATTTCCTGAGCCCCGTCTGCCGAGAGCCAGCCCATGTGTTGGGAGCTGGTGCACAAAGGTGGCCAAGAATAGGTCCTCACCCTCAGGAGGCTCCTTGCAGGGGCAGGCAGACCACAACTGTGTCTAGGAAGAAGGCCTGCCCAGAGGAGGTGGCCTCTGGGCAGGACCTCAGGGAAGATGAGTTGACCATGAGGCATTAGGTGAGGAATGGTGTCCAGGACAAGGGAACAGCATGTACAAAGGAAAGTGTGGTGGATGGTTCGAGGAACCGTCCTCTGGGGGGTGGGACCAAAAAGCACTGGATAGTGTTCAAAATGTACTTCCAGCATTTCCCCTCTGTGAGCCTCTAGGCGACGTTTGTGACACAGTCAGGGCAGGGAGTACGAGAAAAATGAGGCCCAGAGAGGTGATCTGACCTGGCCAAAGTCACACAGCAGATTGTCTGACACCACACAGATCTCGAATGCAGACCCTGGTTCTTTCCAGGCCACAAGATCAGAGCCACGCTTCGGCTGCTGAAGGTTTCAGGGGTCCCTGGCCCAGGCTGCAGACATACACGGGTGACAGGGACCAGAGGTACAGAGAGGACTATGGCCAATTAGAGAACATGTACCCATCTGAGTCGGCAACCCCACTTGGCTTGGAAAAATCTGATTTTCAAGAGGAGCCTGAACTACATGTTTTAAAGGTGGAATCTCCAATCTTTAGATGCTGATAATTAATCCAAGTTAATAGACTCATAGCAATATGTAGATAATCAAAAGAGCCTGTCTATAGGTTAAATTGGGCCCTTCGATGCCCGTGTGCAGCCTCTGGGTTAAAATGGTGACTCAGAACCAGGGGCCAATGGGACTTATGTAGTTAGAATTGGATCCTGGGTCCTAGTGGCCCACCCTGCCCCATAGACCCCTGTCAGCGAGGCTCACGGAGGGTGCTCCGCAGTGTCTACTGTCCAGAAAACCTGGATTCACCATCTCCTACCCAGAGGGCCAAGCTTCAGCCCTCCCAAGGTGGGTGAGGAGGTGGGGACAGAATTGCAGCCCTGGTCAGTGTGGAGCTACTGGCCTGGGAGCGGGACTTGGTTGGTGATCACATGGTCACAGCAGGCCCCATCCTCACCTAAACCACCCTGAGAGCCTGGGGCTGCGGCCGGTCCCATTCCATCTCAGCGATCGAAGGCATAGATGGCCCGGCCACGGTCACACGGATGGCACAAGGCAAGCCTGGATAAAACACGGGTATCTCTGACCCCAAGGCCATGTCCACAATACTTGGCTTCCTGTCTCCAAGCATCTACACGGCCCCATGTGACACGGGGGAGTGAGGCAAGTGTCCTGAGGACCCGAGCACCCAACCTTCTTCATTTCCCTTCATCATCACGTAGCTATTTCCATTGTAAGGGGCCTTAGCTGTCAGGATCACAGTCCCCACCCTGCCCAGGAAGAAACAGATTTTCATAAAGAGATTCAAGTCACAAAAGCAAGGGCACATGATGACTTTCCAGGGGCCTGCGTGCTTTAGCCTCCGTGGGCCCCTTCGTCCTTAAAAATAAATATTAGATTTTGTGACTGCATTTATATAAGATTCAATAGTATATATATTCTCTTCCATCGAAAAGTTCATTTTGGGGTCTGACGTTAAAAGAAATTAAAATGTGCTTGAAGGCCCTTCCCGGTTCTCAAAGCACAAAGGCCCAGGGCATGAACATCTGCAGCCCCGTCTGGGGCTGCCTAGGGCCTTGCTCGTTCCAGAATCAGGCCACGACATCTCTGGATGGCCCTGATCACGTCACTGGGAAGCCCTCGGGCTGTCTCTGTTTGCCCATCTGTCAAATGGGTGGGACTTGCTCAGCCTGTCCAGCCGGACTTATTTGAGGGAGGTCAGAAGGGCCGGTGAGAATCTCATGAAAAAGTCAAAAAAGACTTCCCATGTCTGGTGTCATTCTTGATCCTCCATCTCTCGACACTGAGAAGCAGTTCTCCTTGTGTGGGGCACCGAGGGTTTGCTTTACTCCCAGGTCCGCGCTTGCCGGCCGCGCAGCCCTGGATGTGCAGGGGACCGTGTCTGAGCCCCAGTTCTCTCGTCTGTGAAACGGGATGAATAACCGGTGCCCAGAGGCTGGCATGGACACTGAGTGCTACGCAAATGGCCACTGTTGTCATGATTGCTCTCATCATTATTACTACTCATAGTAGAAGAGGTAGCATCCTGCCGGGTTATGAATCACCCAAGTGGATTGGGGAACATCTTGCACAAACATCTCCAGCTATCAAGACACCTAACGAGCCCTACCATGGCCCTGTCAGCAACACCAGGGGCTGCTTTGGGAGCTGCGTACCCAACGTCATGTTGCCCCTGGTCGGCAATGTGCCCAAGGCCCCGTCTTGCCCAGCCCAGAAGTTGCAGGCCAGCCACTTCTGGAAACCTCCCCAATTCCAGGGATTTCCAAGCGGAGGATCAGACGGATGGGCTGACGTGGGCATCCCGGAGGATCTCCCCAGCTGGCTATCCGAGTTAAAGGTGCAGGGAGTAGCCAAGAGTTGGCCATCCCACTCCTTGTCCCCCAGGTCACCTAGCAGGCTACACCCCTAAGCTAAGGTCCTCAGCATGCTCCTCACCAGGCACCCCAACCCTGAAAGAAAGAAGGGGAGCCCTTAGGAAGAAGCAGCCACCTACTTGGGTCTCGCCGTCTTTGCCGACAAGAACGCCCATGATGCAAGAGGTCAGCTGGGGGCGGTGACATTCATCCCAAGCCCCAGGTCGGGTGCACACAGGGAGACAATTGGGAGAGCCCCAGCCCAGCCCCAAGGCTGCCAGGCCAGTTCTGGAGCCAGTGTGGCTCGGGTCACCAATGAGCCACTGATCCTTCCTGCTTCTAATCAGATTGAGGAGATGTGCAGGGAACTCTGCAGAAATGTCCCCAGGGAGGCCAGGTGGGGACCAAAAGGCTGCGGTTGCTAGGAAAAGCCGAGCTGTTGCCGGCAGAGACCAGGTCGCTAGGCGACCGTCTGCCTGTTACCAGGGCCCGCGCACGTCATCAGTAACCCCAAGCCGGCCAAGAGCCTCCCCCCGGAGCCAGTGACAGCCCAGTCCACCTGCCCACGCCTGACGCCCTCTGGCCCCGACCCGGGCATCTCTCACTCTCTTACCCGGGGCCCTCGTCCTGACCGAGGGCCCCGGGCCCAGAAGTTCCCTGAGTTTGAAACTCTGGATAAACATGTATGTGAATATGTGTGTGTCTGCAGCATTTGTAACTAAATACATGTGCCGTGTGCGTGAGCATGTGCGTAGGGCGTAGCATGAGCACGTGCAAGTGTGTATCAGCGTGCCTGTGTGTGCACGTGTGTGCACGTGTGGATGCATGTGTGGTGTGTGCATGTGCATGTGTGCAGGCTGCGTGTGGGTGTAACTGTGTGCTGGTGTGTACGTATGGTGCAGATGCGTGTACCGTGCAGAGAACACGTGTGCAGGCGGTGCGTGTGCATGTGCGTGAGCACACTAACTCGCTGGCCTCCGAGGTGGAAAGCAGACGGCAGATGGGGCTGCACTAACAAGGCTGGGCCGCACCTAAGTCTTCACCCAGGAGAAGGGGTGTCACCTGTCAGCGAGAGCAGCCTGGCTCTGGGGGACCCACAGGGCAGAATCGGACTGTGTTACAGAAACCATAAGGAAACATGCTTATTTTTGGTGGAAGAAATACTTTCATAAGTCAGAGGTGTATCAGGATGGGATGGACAGCCCTCAGGAGGTTGTGAGCTCCCCGTCACTGGAGGCAAGCAAGTAATTGTGTGGCCTCCTGCTAAGGATGAAAAAAATTGTATGTGAACTAGGGAAAGTTAGACTAAAAGCAGAAGCCATTGAGCAGGCCTCCGGCCCGGAAGTCCTGTGTTGGTCTCATGGTGTAACGATTTCCTGCCTGGGACTGGAAGTGACCCTCAGTGCAGATGAGAACATCAACGACCTTTGATGGGGCGCCCACTGCAGGCCAGGCCCTAATATGCCCATTACACAGCTGGCCCTGCCACCACCCTGCAGGGGCTGTGAGTGTCCCCATTCCTCAGACGTGGAGGCAGAAGCTCTGTGTGGTATACACCTGCCCAGGTCACTCTGCCAGGAGGAGCAGAGCCCGTGTCTCAGGCCAGGGAGGAAGGGTGTGGGCCAGGGGACACCACAGAGGGCCCAGTGACACGGACAGGGAATAAAGCAAGGGACAGATTAAATCAGTCTGGCCTGCCCCTGATAACAGCCTCCTCGAGCTCTCCCTGCCGCAGTCCCCCCACAGTGCAGCTGCCAGATCACACCACTCCCCTGCTCATGAACCTTCAGTGGCTCCCCATTGCTCCCGGGAAAGCAAGTCCAAGGCCTTCACAACCTGGCCCCCTGCCTCTGAAGCACCATCTCCCTCCATGTCCACCAGGTGCATTGCCACTGTCCCCGGACATGAGGGCTGCTTTTGAGGCTCTCTTCGAAACCCCCAGGCTCTACGCTGTTCTTGTCTCCCACTCCCCTCATTGGCACCTCCTCCTCGGGCCTTTCTGGTTCCTCAAAACTCCCTGGCTCTGATCTGGCTTTTGGGCCTCTCCTCTCTCCACGGTGGCTCCCCCAGGATCTCCTCCAGCCCCCTGGTTTCCAGTTCTGTCTACGCGACCAGACTCCTGCCTTTACATCTCCAACCTCTCACCCCCAGCTCCACACTCAGGTCCAGCTGCCTGCTCTCCATCTCCCTGTGGGTCCCCCTCTCTGTCTGTCCTTCTGTCCATCCCACATTGCTAAAAATCTTCTCCCTCTTAGTGGTCTTTTGTATTATTATTGAAATGTTTGACATAGAACATTGTGTAAATTTTAGACGTGCAACACATTGATTTGATGCGTTTATTGATTATAATATGATTGCCACCATGGTGACAATCTATCATGTCACATAATTATCATTTCTTTTTAGTGGTTGGAATAATTAATATCTAGTCTTTTAGCAAGTTTGATGATTATAACTTTTAGTGGTTTCTGATCGCCATTCTTTAACCATTATCTTAACTGACTTCTCTGTGCGTTCATGTGAAATCCTTATGGATCGGGGTGGAGAATCAACCATTCATGAGCAGGACAGAATCCAGGGTGGCCTACATGGTGTCAAAAGCCCCCATGGGACCGCTGTGGGTGGGGTGGAGGGGGACACAGCCCTATGCCCTGGCTCTGTTCCTGACAGGGCTGTGAGCCCACTGCAGGGGCCCCTTCACTCCTCCAGCCATGCATTCAGTCGACATTTACTTGGCACCTAGGATCTAGGGACATGGGAGTGAGCACAACAGACAAAACCCCCACCCCCAAGGAGGCTGCGTTCTAGTGTGTGTGTGTGTGTAGGGGTGTGTAGGGGTGTGGGAGGCTGTAAAGTGGTGGGCCATATGAGTCCCAGGTCATTTTGAGCACGGGGGGACCCCCAGCCTCCCCAGCCTCTTTGGTCAGTGCCCAGCAACACAAATCACAGAACAAAGGAAGGAGTACCCCCACCCCAGAAGCCCCTGCCCCTCACTGTAACCCCTCCCCAGGTCATCCTTGGGGGGAAGACGGAGAACACACAGCGCCTTACTTTGGCTCCTCCTCTTCTTCCTCCTCCTCCTCTCCATCCTCCTCCTCAGCTTCTCTCTCCTCTTGAATCCGGGGCAGTTCCCTGAGTTGAGGTCAGAAGCAGAAAGTAAGCCCACCTGCAGATCCACCCCGAGTCCAGCTCCTGTCCCCATTTTCAGGAAGATGTCCTGCAACCCCTGACACCAGAGCTGAACTTCTCAACCAAGACTTGACCCGGGGAACCCCACCTGAGCAGCCTTGGGCTCCCTCCGGCAGCAAGGCCTCTTCACGGCACCAGGGGCCCGGCCCAGCCCCCGCCGTCCTAGTGGCAACCCTGGGTCAGCCCCTGAGCCTCTCTGGGCCTCAGTTTCCCCACCTTTACAACGTAGGCCATGGGCCTGAGGACCTGAGACCTCCCAGCTCGAGAGGCTATCACCAAGATCACTAGTGGGAACAAAGATCGTGATGTCCCTATGGAGGGCAAGTGGGCAATCATACCACTGTCACACGTTCCAGTGACCCATGACCCTGTAGCCCCCCTTCTGGAAATTTCTCCTGCACATCTACTCACATGGCTGTGTAAGGACATCCGTGCCAGAGCGCTGCAAAATTGTCTATAACACAATTTCACAATCATAAATGTCCACCCACAGTGGGCAGATTAGATCAATTCTGGCACATTCACACAATGGAAGATCTCTCTATGCACTGAAGGTGGAAAGAACTCAAGGTATGTTGTTGAAAGAATAGAGCAAAGTGCAGCTAGGAGAAGGAGTGGAGGCAGGTTTGAATCCTGTTCTATGGCCTTTGGTACCTTTGGGATTCTCTACCGTGTGCCTGTCATCTCCCCAGTCATTTTTTCCGGGGCTTTCTCTGGCTCCCACCTGGGCATCTCCACAGCCTCGTTCTCCTCTTCATAAGCTGGAGCTGCCTCTGAGCCCTGCGGGCTGATGCCACCGTCCTGATGCTCGTCCTCCTCCCAGTGAGGGTCAACCTCTTCTAGGATGAGATCAGGCTCCTCTTGGCCTCCGGGGAGGATGCAGACTGCAGGGGACACAGGGCACGGGGGAGAGTGGGCTTGGGCCTCTGAGTCCCAGGGACCGCATGGGGGGCCTTGGCCATCAACCGCCATGAGCCAGCTCTCAGCCAAGCAGCAGAAACACCACCATTATCCGGGGAACCTCAGCAACCAGACCAGTGCTAAAGTGACAGGCTGAAGCGCATGATCATTCACCTTGTCTCCTTCCAGCCGTCTTCCCCCTCTTTTTCCTCCTGAGATAGAGCTTCAATTACGGTTAGCCTCTGTGTCCCCTTGGGCCTCCTTCTTGGAGTTTTGTGCAAAAGCAGAACCACAGCATTGCGGGTGATATGAAAGATCCAGGCTCGGGGTCCGCCTTGGCACGTGCAGGTGCAAGGTGGCCTGGACTGTCCCGGGGGATGCAGAGAGAGCCTGCCCCCGGACTGTTCTCTAGATGCCGCCCACTGGTGACAGCATACTACAGGCTCCTAACCTCAGCTCCCGCTTCCAGGAGTCTTTCCCTCCTGGGCCTAGAGGCTCCAGCTTCTAAGGGGATTGACTTTCTGGTAGAGGTGGTCCAACCTTCAGATAGGAATTGGTCATTTTCACTATTTCTCCATGTACCCAGGTCCCTGACAATGCAAACAGTGTGGGGCTGTGAGCTCGCCAGAAGTGGGCATAGGGGAGTCTCATCAGGAACCTAAGCCCCCCGACAAGCAAGAGAAAGGGGGGAAGTGGGGAGATTTGCCTGGATCCCAGGCATTCCCAAAAAGCTCCAGGTCTTGGCTGGCCCTTCAACCAAGCATGAAATTATGAACAGCGACTTTAAATGCGAGTTGGTCTCACACCTTATTCTGTGACTGGGAATTATTGCTCATGGTGTAGAAATAATAATAATAATAATAATAATATAATGGCAGCTACATTTATTGAGCACTTACTATGTGCCTGGCCCTGTACTTAGTGACATACATGGATTAACTCAATGAGTCCTCACACCAACCTTTTGAGTTGGGAATAATTGTTACTCCCCATTTTATTTTCCCTCTTTTATGTTATTCCCCATTTTACAGACGAGCAAACTGAGACCCAGGTTAACACCTTCCTTTGCAGGGTGCTTCCCCTGTGCCCGGCTCAGGGTTGTCTGTTTTCTGAGAGCTGCATCCTCCTGCTCCCACCTCTAGCTCCCAAGTACAGACATTATCCTGCCTCACAGAGGAAGGGTCAGCCTGCCCTCCAGGAGAGTCCCCCCCACCCCCCAGCCACACATCTTGAACTAACTAGCCTTTTCCATGCTGGTCCTGGCTCCTCCAGCCCGACAAACACCCCTGGGGTCTGACCAGGGAGGGTCTTCCAAGCGTGGCCCTGAATCCAGTGGGAGGCACACCATACACGTCATTCTAGAACATCGTCCGGTCATGGTGCAGCATCTCTGCCTTGAGCAGCCACTTGGGGTGCAAGTCCCCACCTGACATAGCAGGGAACATCCAGGGGACAGGACAACCTCTGGCCCGTGAGCTCATTAGCTTTCACAGCAACCCTGCATGGGGAGAACAGTACTCTCGCCATTTGATAAACCACAGGGCCAGCTCAGAGAGGCTGAGTGACTTGTCCAAGGCCACACGGGATATCAGAGGCATTGCCAAGTCTCCTGACTGCTGATTCCCTGGTGTGCTATCCCAGGCGATAAATATGTCCCATGAGTGTCTCCCTGGCATGGGGGCCTCTCTGTAACGGGCACTGGATGAGCCCAGCATTTGGGTTCTGAAGAGTCAATGCCATCTTTGTTTACATCCTTGCTTTCTTTTTCAACCCTTTCTTTTTGGGTACTCTTTAGTGAGTAAGCATTTTACAAGATTTTCCTCCTTCCGTGGCTGTGCCAGGCCTGTGAGCCGTGCCCTATACTGTCCCCATGTTACAGCCAAAGATTCTGTGGCTCTGGGAAGAGGACGGTGGCCACGGCACTGGGCAGGAGGGGCGGGCACAGGGTTCTCTGCCATGCTGACCCGGGGGCGGGGTTCCAAGACCCTCTCTGTAGGCATCCGATTGATTCATAGCTCTCCTGGCTTTTCCAGGGCCCCACCCTTGGGTCACAGATGGGGCCACCGAAGCACTGTGGGTGCTCAAGCTCCCATGGGGAAACTCCTGCTCCATCCTGGGCTGAAACTTTGCTCCTGAAGTCCCTCATTGGCACACCACCTCCTGGCCGGCATCCTCTCTGCCAGCTTCGGATGTCCCTCAGGGCAACTGAATAGGGTTCTGATTCCAGCAGTGCAGGTCATCAGGTGCATCTGGGGAAGGAGCTCCTGTTCCCAGGATCAGCAAACAGGGAGGCTGGGGGCATGGATCTTAGGCCAAGGCCTGGGTTGCTGGCAAAGCCCAAGCTCTGGCTTATCCTCTCTGGCAGGCCTGGGTCCTAGATGCTTTGGATGTGGCCCAAAGATCAAGAACCTTTGCTTCGATTGCTTCCTCTGCCTCCAACGCTTGCTCAGCCTCAGAGTAGTCTCTTTGAAGTCCTTCCCCTGCTCAACCACCTTCAAAGGCTCCCCAATGCCTACAACCTAGTCCCCTAAAATCAGGGCCCAGCTTTTCTAGTTTTACCTTCTGCATCAAGAACTCAGGATTCATGGAAGTACCCACCACTCTCCTTCTCCCACCTCCAGGCATTTGCTCACTTTATTCCCTCTCCCGCATTGCCCTCCCCTCGCCGCCAGTTTGGGACCTCAGGGGTCTCCAAGTCAAAGGCCCGTGTGGCCAGGGAGACAGTGTATGTGGGTGAGGGGGAGCGTGCTTCCCGCCGTCAGGAGGCAGCTGCTGATCAGACTGTCCTCACAAGCATGGCGCGGGTCCATCATAGCTGGATAGTCCCCGTTTTTGAGAGAAACCAGACTTTTCCTCTGCAACGCCACCTGATTTTTAGATGTTGGCAACTAATTCTAATATTGAAAATCCTTCCATGCCCCAAACATAGACATCTGTGAACCCGCTAGGGCCCAGGGCAATCGGCTCGGGATCCCTAGCAAACTCCTCCTCCCTGCTCCCCCTGCACCATCTGCCACATTAACCCGCCCATCTTTCGAACCTGAGTACTCATATTAGCTTCACCCGAAGCAAGGACATCATGCAATCACAGCTGTGATGTGCCAATTTATGCTTTTTAATGTCAGCAAAGGCATGCGTTGCTGTCCACTGGTGGACTCCAACTCTTCAAGGGAGAGAACACAGCCAAGCCTAAGGGGATCCTCTGCTGGGAAAAAGTGTGTCCCGTGGGGGCACCAGCTGGGTGCCCGGCCCCACGCTGAAGGCTGTGCCAGCGACCTCTCAAAGAGAGTCCTCCGCAGGCTTTCCCACAGCCTTCTGGTGGGAAGTCCTCCTGCTGTCTAGCCTGAATCCCACCGGCTGCCCTTGGCCATCCTTCTCCTTGCTTCCGTGGAAAGGGGCCGGCCTTTGTCTCGGAGAGGCGGCTCTGGGACTGGCTCCCCTCGCCTTGCCTGAGAGCGTGGGGAGCAGCCGGGGGGTCACTGTTCAAGCGGGGCGCGGGGTCGACAGCCTCCTCTTCCCCTCCCCTGCGGGTCTTCAGGGCACCCTTCTTTCCTTCCATCCATCCATCCGTTTGTCCATCTGCGCTCTCCCAGGACCCTTCTGTCTTGTTTCAGAGGCCACCCGCTGCCGCCACGCCTGAAACAAGACAGAAAGGTGGGGGGCTGGGTGGGCAGGCGGAGGGAATGAATGAGCAGGTACGTGAGTGAGGGAATGGGGAGGGAGGCTGGGGGCAGAGCCGGCAGCGGGGGAGGGCACTCGGCCCCCAGCCCCTTGGTCTCATCCTGTAGCATGGGTTGAACAGTGTCCCCCCAAAAAACATATATTCAGTCCTACTCCCTGTGACATGTGAAGGTGACCTCGTTTAGAAACAGGGTCTTTGCAGATGTCATTAGTTAAGCATCTCAAGATGAGCTCAGCCTGGATTTAGGGTGGGCCTTACATCCCTGGCTGGGGTCTTTACAAGAGAAAGGAGAGGAGATTGGACAGATAGGAAAAGGCAGAGACCAGAGGCCAGCCGGAAGCCAGTAGGACACGGAGCATTGCCACCAGAAGCCAGGAGAGAGGCCCGGGATGGTTTCTCCCCAGGGCAGCAGGAACCAACCCAGCCAAGGCTTCGAGTTTGGGCCTCTGGGTCCTGAGCGCTGGGAGAACGCGTTTCTGCTGTTTGCAGGCGCCGGGTTTGCAGTCCTTTGCTCCGCAGCCCTGGGGCGCCAACACACAGGGTTCCTGGCCCTGGAGCCCCGCGCCCACCCACGCCCCACACGCTCTGCGCTCGCGGGGAGGCCCCGTTGACAGCTGGCTGAGCACCCGAACTCCTTCCAGGGGAGCAGAGAGGAGGAGAAGAGGGGGCCAGGGCTTCTGTCTTTAGAGCTCTCCGGGGCCCCTGCTCCAGGGAACGTTTTCTCCACAATGGCTACCAGGCCACATGGATGCTCGTCGCCACACTGTGACAACTCGTTCTGTGACCTTGGGCACATCCCTGTGTTTCTGCCAGCCCAACAGCCATATGGGGCTCACTGCTCTACGCAGGGTCTCCACGAGAGCAAGCAAGCCCTGCGCTGAGGCCTGCCCCCCACAACATCTCAGCATCATACAAATCCCATCTCTTCCCGCGGCCCCGTGGCCCTGCGGCCAGACCCCAGCTCCGCGGTGGCCGGCCCGGCTGCGCTCCAGGCTGCGGTGGCCATCCTCACCCGCAGGGCGCTTGGAAAGACCACCATCAGCCTAGTGGAGCTAGGGTGGACAGCCAGAGGACACCTAAGGCCCAGGGTCTGAGGGCCCATGTCCAGGGTGGAGGAGGGCCACCGCCCACAGGCCCTGAACTCTGCTCTGCTCACTTCTAGAACGTATCACGGGCCTGGCACATAGCAGGCCCTCTGTGACCTCTGTGAATGAATAAAAGCCCTGCATGCCACATGCTTTTCCTGAGGCCATGAAATGAAGGGAGGGCAGATTTGGGACCCTGGCCTTCCCCTCCCGGCCTCCGTCCGTCCCCTGATACTAGTGCGGGGCTAGGATAAAAGGCAGCACATAGCTCCCCATCCCACCCATAGATGAGGGGAACCCTCCTGGCTCAAGACAGCCAGAGTTTATGGGACCTAGTTCCCCCAGGAAACCCCATGCCTCTCCCCTCCCCCCTCACCCAGGGACTCTGCTTAGCCCAACCCACTGGCCCAGGGAAGCAGTGGGGGGCTCTCTCTGGGTGCTCTCAGAGTAAGGGGGTCCATCCAACTTGGCCTCAGAACTGTTTTCTCTGCAAGCCTGGTCCCCCACCACGTCTCTCCTCAGCCCCTAGGAGGGGCCTCCAGCCACCATCTGGCCCTGGGCCAGGCTGACCTGAGGGGAAGTCTGCAGGGCATGGGCTCTCTCAGCTCCAGGTCAGGAGGCCCTGACTGAACCCCCCAAGCAAGTCCAGGCCTGGCCAGGGACCGGCCCACTGTGCACTCAGACCAAGCAACCCTCCCCGAGATGCCCATGAGGATCCACTAAGTTGTCACTTACTCGTCTGCACGTCACATGTTCCAGGGGAGTCAGGCTCCTGCATGGGGAAAAAGGGGGAAATGACGTGTCTCCTCACCAGCCTCCCTCCTCCCACCACCCCCCCAGCACACACAGAAGCAAGAGGGTTTTCCTCATCCCCTACCAGGACACCCACAGAAGGTCCCAATGCTCCCAGCTCCTCTCTGGCCTGTTTCTCCCCTCCTGCCTCAGAGCTTACCCCCTGCTCCAGGCTCTCCCCTCCCTGGATCACCATTGGGTCCCCCCACCCAGCTCCTCTGCCTGGGCTGGGCCCCCTGCCTGAGAGGCCTGCCTACCTACCACTCTCTGTGTGGGGAAAACCTCCTCCCAGCCTTCCTGGGGGGTTGCCTCAAAGCTCAGGCGAGGCCTCTCCCCACCAGCACCACACCTTCCCCTGCCCCAGCCCCGTCCTCAGGAGCCCCTCCCCTCTGTGAGGGCATGTTCATAGACACAGTGTTCCTGCCACCAGGCCCCTCTTTCCTCGTCTTGGAAAACTCCAAAGCTGCGTTTCCTCTGCCACCCGCAGAGGCCACTTGGACACAGAGCCTGAGGGCTCGGCCTGCAGAGAAGGGGGCCCTGAGGCTTCTTGTCCACCTCCTGTTGCAGCCAGGACTGGGCCCCAGGCCTCCCGCCTCCCAGTTCCAGGTGCTACTGTCAAGATATACAATTGTCTCCAAGGGAGAACGGCCAGGTGCCAGGTCCTTTTTTTTTTTTATAAAGATTTTATTTATTTATTTATTTAGAGAGAGCATGAGCAGGGGGGAGGGAGAAAGAGAATCTGAAGCAGACTACCTGCTGAGCTCAGAGCCCGAAGTGAAGCGGGGCTCAATCCCATGACCCTGAGATCATGACCCCAGCCGAAATCAAGAGTTGGCCGCTAAACCAAATAAGCCACCCAGGCACCCCCAGGTGCCAGGTTCTTGGAGAAGGAGAGAAAGAGGTGACAGAGGTCTTGCTCCCTCACCCACCCTTAAGTTCTAGGTTCTCAGAAATGCACACAGGGCCCTCTGCTTTCCTGCAAGCCCCACTTCTTTCCAGAACATTCCAGGCCTCTCTTATCTCTGGGCCTTTGCATATGCTGATCCTTTGCCTGAAGGGCTCTTCCTATACCACCCCCCTTCACTTTTACCCACCCCCATCCTACTTCTCCCTCAGGTCTCAGCTTGCAAGCCACTTCCATCGGGAAGCCTTCCTTCATGCTCCTGGGGAGCTCCTCCTCTGCACCCCACATCCTCTCTTCCCTCCATGGAAGCATCTCCCCCACTGACTGTGACCCCCGGTTAACAAGCCCATGCAGCCCTGTGGCCAAGGTGCCTCAGAGAGTGTGTGGAAGAAATGTGAGCTGAGCAGGTGGGCAGGCTATGCTCCCACGACAGGCTCCCTTCTTCCTTCTGTGCTCTACCCCCAGACCACCCATCCTTGTCTGAGCTCCAAGACCAATGCCCCACTCCCCCAGCCCAGCACAGACCTGCTCCCCAGCCTTCCCGTGGAGCACGGGCTGCGGCAAGGCCATCTCCAGCCTGTGCAGGAGCCAAGCCATCAACCTGCATGTGGGAGAGAACAGGCCATGTCTAAGCAGCGGGGCTTGTGGGGAAACTGAGACCAGAGTCAGGTCCCTCCCACGGCAGACAGCAAGCCCACCGGAAGGCAGACCAGAACCCAGGTCTCCAGCCCCAAAGACCATTGCCCTCCTCCCTGGCCTCCCTAGGCCAACCTCTGGGTACCGCTCAGACCCCAGCAGGTAGCTCAGCGGCCCCCCAACCCTGGAGGTGCATGCAGGTCTCTCCCACATTGCCAGGCCAGGAGCATTTGGGGACACGTATCCTGATTTTTAAGGCAGCATCTTTTGGCTCTGCAACTCCAGTTCCTCGGATTTACCCCCACAGATTTACTGCACAAGGCCACCGAGCATAGCAAGAGTAGAAACGAACCTAAATGGCCAGCAAATGGCTAAGGAAAAGCTGGTGCAGCCACATCATGGGGCACTTGGCAGCTGCTGAAAGAATGAAGCAGGCCCATGTGTATAAAACCACCTCTAAGAGACACTTTTTGGTGAAAAAAACAAGCTGCGGAGCAGTATAGAGATCTTGCTGTTGTCTGATACATGTGTTTGGCTAAAGGAGAAATGGATTCCCCGGCTCGTGTGTGCATACAGAACATGTGGGGGGACAGTGGCTGACGGGGCTGCCCGGGGAAGGGCCACTGGGAATCCCTTTAAATTTCCCCCTGGGGGCATATGTTTAATTTTTTAAAAACTAGCTTGGTGAAGTGTTGGGTGTGGGGCTGGGGCAAAGTACTGATCCTGCTCCCCAGGAAAGGTATAGCATTTGGGGAGCTCACCTGGCGGGGTCGCCGGGGGGCAGCAGGGAGGAAGCCTGGGAGCTGGGCTGGGGTTCTGAGGTCAGCTCCTCCTTGGCTTCCGGGGGGCCAGTCGTGGGGAGGCAGGGGCTCTCCGGGGCCTGCAGCACAGTCTCCGTTTCCAAGGTGGGTTCTGGGGGCTCTACGCAGCGGGGAGAGCAAGAGTCTAAAGAGGACAAGGCAGGGCTCCATGCGACCCCTCATGGGCACTGGGGGCCAGATTCGAGGCACCAACACATGACTGAGTAGGGAGCCCCTTGAGCCCACTCCAACAACCCCTCTCATCAGACAGACATGGAATCGAGACCCAGGAAGCTCAAGGCGCTTATCTAAGACCTCACAAGACCGTCCCACACCACTGGCTTTCCAACCTGGACTGGGGAGGGGTTCCAAGGCCCACCACAACAGCCCACTCCCAGTGAGCCTGGGTGACGGCTAAGGTCCTCCCCCAGGATCCCTCAGGCCCCAGTTGCACCCCCAGCCCAGCCTGTGACCATGCCGGGCAGCCCTTCCCAGTTCCCCTCCCTGTACCTGGGCCCAAGGCAGCATCTGTAGGCTCATCTCTCCAGTCCTAGAGCAGAAACAGGGAGTGGGGTCATGGAACAAAGCGAGCCCTGTGCATTCCCTCTCCTGGCCGGCTGTGCCCAGGGCAGGTGGGGCAGGTGACAGAGGGCTTCATCTGTCCCTATGAGCCCCCTTACTTTTTGCAGTCACTCCTCTCCATCAAGAACCCTCCAGGGAGGATAATACCCCCTCTATGTGTCCCAGGGGGTGGGGATAGCCTGCTGGGTCCTTCCTGGGGCCCCAGAAAGCCTCCCAGGTGGTCATCTGCCTGCTTCCCCTTACCCTCGACTTACCTTGGAGGTTTCTGGGGGCTGAGGCAGCACTTTCTCCAGATTCTGCTCAAGCCACCTGAGCAGCCAGGGCCCAGACCTGCAAAGGGGCCAGCGGTCAGTGGAACAGCCTAGTCACACTGACCTGAACGTCTGTTGGAGTCCCAGGCTTCAATCAGCCCTTCCTCACCTCTGGTCCCATTGTGCATAGTGGAGACCTTGTATTGGATACTCTGGAAGGGCCTCAGGTAAGGGGGGGAACTTCAGCCAGCCTCAAATTCTGACCCATGGCTGGACCAGGCCAGAACTACAGGCCCAGCCCTGGCCACCTGGGCAGCAGGTGAGGAATAGGGGCTGCCTGGGAACGTGAATGCAGCATGGGGGGCTCCCCGTGTCTGGCTCCATGGGTCTGGGAGCAGGGCAGTCACACAGGGCCCGATACTTAGAAGGGCCCAGTTTGGGTTTCATGCTCTTATCACAATCTTAAACTTAAATTTTTTAAAAAGATTTATTTATTTATTTGAGAGAGAGAGAGCATAAGCATGAGGGGCAGAGGCAGAAGGAGAGAGACTCTCAAGCAAACTCCCCTCTAAGTGTGGAGCCTGACGCAGGGCTCGATCCTACAAACCTGAGATCACGACCTGAGCCAAAACTAAGAGTTGGACGCTCAACCAACTCTGCTACCCAGGCACCCCAAACTCTTATTAATTTTTTTAAAGGAGTCCTGCCTTTTAATTTTTTTTTTTTAAGATTTTATTTATTTATTTGAGAGAGAGAGAGAGAGCACATGAGAGGGGGGAGGGTCAGAGGGAGAAGCAGACTCCCCGCCGAGCAGGGAGCCCGATGCGGGACTCGATCCTGGGACTCCAGGATCATGACCTGAGCCGAAGGCAGTCGGTCAACCAACTGAGCCACCCAGGCGCCCCTGCCTTTTAATTTTGACCACAAATTACATAGCTGGTCCTGGGGCAAATGGGTCCCAGTTCCATCTGGCCTCCAGGCAGCCCCTCCGTCTTCAGGGAAGCTCCATGTTCCCAGGGGAACCCATCCCCCCAGGTTTGGCCCAAAAGAAAGCTGGCAAATCTTCTGGGGATTTGTCTCCAGGGGACAAAAAGAAATAGACTGTGAGCTAGAACAATGAGTGAATGAATAGAGTACATTCATTCATTCATCCCTTCCGTGCTGAGTCCTCTTCTTATGGCAGGCACTGTGCTGGGTGCCGGGGGGTTCAACAGCGATGAGACAAAAACTTCTGCCCTCAAGAACCCAACAGTCTAACGAATGAATAAGGGAAGGCAGGAATGAATGGGGTGAATAAAGATGAATGCAGAGACTGCAAACTGGAGGCTTCGGGTTTATTTTGGGGGTCCACAGGGTTCAAAAAACTTTTCAATTAGTTGGCAACAGCTAAAAATCAAGGATTACATAAAAACCTAAATTTCTAGCTTCTCTTGAAAAACTGGAGGATTGGCCACTTTGGGCCTGAACTCCTCTGAGGCAGAGGCAGCGGGAGCTGAGCAGGGACCGTCCTGGACAAGGACATGGGCTCCCCTGTTTGCCATAGCTCTCACCCAGCTCGCTTCCCTCCCTGGCAAGGCAGCTGCCCACCTTGGTCAAGTCTGAGAAGTCCGAAGCTATTGCTTCTGGGATCTCCCAGAAATCAGCACAACAAACCATGGGACGCATAGGGCCCTTTGGCTCCATTTTATGGATGGGAACAGGGAGGTCCAGAAGAGATGAGAGGCAAGTCCAATGTCACACACTGAGGTGGTAGTGGAACCTGCTTCTGAACCCAAGACCCTCAGCTCTGGGCACACTGCTCCCCCCAGCTCACACACTACACATGTTTCCCAAACCAGTGCTCAGGGATGAGGACTCACCTGGTGTCCTGGGCCCCAGGGGCCTCCCCGAGTCCACCTGCAGGAGAAAGGAGGGTGGTCAGCAGCAAGAAGCCCGCCTGGACCCGCTCCTCCGGTCAGCCTCACTCAAACCCAGCCTGGAATCCGGGGCCAGTCTGATGAGAGTCCCCCGCCTGTGGGCTCTCTGCAGGGGCAGGGCCCATCCCAAGCTCCCCCAGTCCCATCCCCGAAAAGCGGTCCTGCCTCCTGGCCTTACCTGAGCCCCCAGCGCTGCATTGCCCAGACGTCTGTGCTCCTGCCTGCCAGGACAGATGGGCAGATGAGGACAGAGAGCCCAGATGCAATGGCCTCCCACCCCGCCCACCTCGGCTCCCGGCCCCGGAAGTACCTGAGCAGGGGCCTCCGAGCCGGCAGCAGTGCCCTGGGCTGGCCCGCTGCTGGGGACGGGCTGTGGGATGACCTTCTCCATGCCCTTCTTGAGCCAGCTCAGCACCCACCCGCTGGAACTGCTGAGGGACAGAGATACAGACTCACCCGCAAGGTCCCCAGCCCCTCCCTGGTCCAAGGGGGCCCTCCCCAGTGTCCTAAAGAAATCGGTTTGAATCCCAAACGTCTATCTCCTCACTGTGAGACTTAAGATATGCCACTTTCCCCCCGAGTCTTGTGTTCAACTCTGGAAAATGGGGAACACCAACCCTTGGAGAGGCCAGGTATGTCCAGGGCTATCCTGAGCCCACCCCCATCAGATGCTGGGTATAAAGCAGCCAGGGAAGCATCCTGCTTCCCCCTGAGCCTGGCTCCAGGGGTCCCCTCTTATACTTGGCACACATCCTGTGCTCCAGAAGGGTTGAGGGTTTACTGTGGGGTGTTTCCTTGTGGCTGAGGCTGGGCAGCCTCAATGGGAGGGTCACAGACTCACTGCCTGAGGCTAGCCCCCCACAGGTAGGCTCACTTGGATAAGCACTAATGGTCTAAAATGAGCCAACTTTGAGATGGCATCTAAAAGTTTGGATTTCTGGCTCAGTTAGGAAAATGGGAAGCTCTGGCCACACTGGATCTGCATTTCTCCCAAGCACTGAGAACACTCTGGCCCCCACTCGCTGTTTCTCTTGGTCCCATTGTCCATTTGGCCCAGGAGATCCCTGTCCATTGCATGAGGCTCCCTTCAGCCAGTTCCCAGGATGTTCTGGGCATCTGGGCAGTTGTCTGTGAATGACTAGTGACCTGAGAGCGAGGCTAGTCCCCACCCCCAAGTGGCTCCCTAGTTTTTGGGGGTAGGGGGGCTGGCCCCTGGAGAGGGGAGGGTGGTGTAGTACCTGTTCACTTCGGGAACCACGGCGACCTGGGCCTGGAGGGATGTAGGCAGAGTAGGGACAGCCTCCCCGATTTCTGGAAAAGAGTCCCTCCTACTTTAGATCTGGAACCTCAGAGTTGCCCATTTCTACCCTGCTAGGAAAGTCAAGGCAGAGGCAGGGGCAAGGGGAGAGCCCCAAGGGAGTCAGAAGGCCAGGGTTCCAGCTCAGCTCAGCTAAAAATTCCCCAGGAGCCCAGGCCTCAACTTCTCTGAGCCTCGGTTTCTTGTCTGTGAAATGGGCCCGCCAGCCTGTGGACGCGGCAAGGTCCTGAGGGGAACACACTCCTCCCCGGCACCCTGCCCGCCAACCTGGGCTTCCGGCACTCACCCTGAGAGTCTGGGTCAGCTGCAGCCAATTCCTTCCCCTCCAACGGCTCTTCAGGTGGCTGGAAGGTTCAAGCAGGACCACGTAAGCCCTCAGCGAGCCCAGCCTGGTTCAGGCAGGGGCAGCGCCTGACCCCCCTGTGACGGACCCCCTCGCCCCACAGGACCAAGCAGCTCTGTTCTCACAACCGTCCCTGTAAATCCCGGCAGCTCACCTTCGGCTTGGGACGCTCCCTTCCTCACGACCCCAGGGATCCCTCCTCCAGGGTTGGGCCCTCACTGCACCCCCCACCAAGGTAGCCCCTGGGCCTATCACACCCCCCAGGAAACTGCCCCACTCCAGTGGGCTGAGAACAGGGAGGAAGACTGGAGCAAACTGACGGGGAGAGGGAGGTGAGAGGACCCCCCACACCTAGCCCCCGCCAGAGCTCTCCCTCTCCTCTGGGCCGGACCTGCCATCCCCCTCCAGCAGCTGGGAGGGCATTCAGCGCAGCACCTGCCGCTCCGGCCACGTGCGCACACGTGTGCGTACGTGCACGCTCAGCGTGACGTGTACGAGCTCACGTAAATTTCCCCATACGCACAGACGCGTGCATGCACGCGCACACATGTGCAGTAACCCGGAGATGGTGTGTACACACATAAACAGACAGAAACCAGTGTATGCCCACCCGTGCATGTGTACGTGCAAGACACAAAACACACGTGCGTGTGCACTTGCTTGTGCATGCACACCCCATGCACACGGGCACATGCAGACGTATTCATACGGACATGTGCACACATGCAGACGTACACACGCAGATACCTGCAAGTATCAGACACACACAAACGTGTGCATATGCACACACACACTTGCATATACATACAGATGCCTGCGTGTACACACACGTGCATATATATGCTCCCTCACATAGACATACTCACACGTACACACACACACACGTATTCACGAGCACATCCTTTCATGTGTGCATCAACACACGAGCACACACACAGACGAACATACATATGCATGTACGCCTGCACACGCAGTTCTGCATGCGAACATGCACCGACGAGCAGACACGCACGGATGTCCAAAATATGTACATACCCAAACATGCAGACACATACAAGTGTGTCCATACACACTTACATGCACAGATACACAAACATGTGCACGCACAAACACATGAATACATTCACAGACTCAGAAACATTTGCATACACACACACAGCATGCCCCACATGTACATGGAACTACAGGGACACCAATGCATGTGTGCACACGTATGTACATGTATGTGTATGTGCATGCACACACATGCATGCAAACCGTGTGTGTTCGCGTGCACACAGTTTGCTACTGCGTATGCACATGCAGACATATCACTAAGGACCCAGGGCATGCACATACGTGCACACATGTGTGTGCATGCGAACACTATGCACACAAACCCCATACCGGGGTAGTCACTGTTTCCTGAACGTGCCCTCGCTGCCCAGGACTCACCCTTCCTCTGCCAGGCACGCCCCACTGCTTCATCTCCAGTAACACCGGGCCCAGCCCACCGTGTCTGGGAGGCACTCCCCCACCAGCTTCCACTCTCCAAACTTAAGATGATTCTCTCTCTCCTCTGAGCTCCCATAGTTCTGTCTGATACACTTGTTTGGCCCTCCCGGGAGGGTAGAGCTGAGCCCAGTGTTGGAGGTCCCTGCATTTCCTCATCACCCCTGTCTGCTGGTAGAATGACCTGGCCGGTACTTGTCTGCTAAGCCCTGGGGGCGATGCCTTATTCATCATCATGCTCCCAGCACAGCACCCAGGCCTGGCATCAATTAGAACCTAAATCAAATCTGTGTAATTGAGCTTCTGGATTAGTTGTCATCAGGCTCCTGAATGGATGGGATGCAGAACTGGCGAGTTTGGATGAGCTGGAGTCCCCCCCGTGGAAAGTCCCTGGGGGGCAGCTGACCCACAGTGAGAATCCCCTGAGCCGCTAGGCCCGCATGCCCTCCCTCAGCCTCAGTCTCTTACCAGGGATTCGTCGCCTCGCTCAGCCTCCTTGGGGGCGGTTTCAGTCTCCGGCTCTGGTTCCGGTACCACCTCTGGCTCTGGTTCTGCCCCCTCCTCCTCCTCCTCCATCTTGGTCTTCTGAGGGGTCCCTGGGGGCTGAGGCAGCACCCTCTGGACCCAGCTCAACATCCTGACACCTGCAGGAGACAGAGTCCTTAGGCCTCCCCAGAGCACCCACATTTGATCCCACCACTGGGGGGCCACTTTTGTGGGTCACACATTTCCCTTTTCTCTCATTCATCTTTCAAAACATTTCTACAAATTATACCTCCAGGAATTCACTTGATAGAAATACTCAGGCAAAAAAGAAAAGAAAAGAAAAGAAAGGAAAGGAAAGGAAAGGAAAGGAAAGGAAAGGAAAGAAAAGAAAAGAGGGGCGCCTGGGTGGCTCAGTCGGTTAAGCGACTGCCTTCGGCTCAGGTCATGATCCTGGAGTCCCGGGATCGAGTCCCGCATCGGGCTCCCTGCTCGGCAGGGAGTCTGCTTCATCCTCTGACTCTATCCCCTCTCATGTGTTCTCTCTCTCATTCTCTCTCTCTCAAATAAATAAATAAAATCTTTAAAAAAAAAAAGAAAAGAAAAGAAAAAAGAGAAAAGAAATACTCAAGCCAAAAACGTGTATAAAGAGGCTGGTCGTCACAGTGTTATAGCAAAAAATGAAAAGCGTCCAAATATTCATCAGTAGGACCCTGGTTATTAGAAAATACCTAAATGTTCATCTGTAAGAGAGACATGTATTAAATTACAATACATCCAATAATGGAATATTATGGAGCCATAAAAAAAAAGTGGCTCTATTTGAACCAGTCCGGGAAGATGTACATGCGCTGGACGCCAGTCATGACCGAATCAATTAAACTCTCTGTGCCTCAGTGTGCTTGTCTGTAAAATGGGGATGTTACAGAACCTATCTTGTGGAGAGGATTGTGAGGATAAAATAAACCAATACCAGGGTGCCTGGGTGGCTCAGTTGATTAAGCGACTGCCTTCGGCTCAGGTCATGATCCTGGAGTCCCGGGATCGAGTCCCTCAACAGGCTCCCTGCTCAGCAGGGAGTCTGCTTCTCCCTCTGACCCTAACCCCTCTCATGTGCTCTCTCTCATTCTCTCTCTCTCAAATAAATAAATAAAATCTTAAAAAAAAATAAAAAAAATAAACCAATACGAACGTGACGGGCACACACTGGAAGCTTAATAAATGTTGGCTATGACTATTATTTGGTGTCAAGCAAAAAACACCAATTGTAGAATGTATCATGTTCAGCATGATCCCAAGATAAATTTTAAAAAATACATTATGAATAGCATATGAATGGAAAATATTTTAACAAAGACATTAACCCATTTTCATGATTTAAAAACATTTAAGGTGACAGTCACATCCCCTTTTCAAGATGTATTGTCCTACCTTATTTGGGTCCAGTTTCTGGCATCATTTTCCTTCTGGGGATGAGGGGCCTCTGCCCTTCTGACTAAATCCTTGCAGGCTGGCCCGGCCCAGCGGGCGCCACACAGGTTAGTATGTGCAAACTCTCCCCCTCAAAAGGGTCCTTCTGAGGTGATGCCCAACATGACAGAGGGTCTCTCTGTCCCTCCTCTGCCAGGGGCCCTGGCCCCACGCTGAAAAGGATAGGCAGAAGGCCCAGGATCCCTGCCCCAGTGCCCAGCTCCCCACAGCCCCCGGCCATGCTGCCTGTCCTTCTATCACAGCCCTGACTTCTGTCCCTGCTCAGGCCTCAGCCGCCCAGCTCTCCTGGGAGAGGCCGTGGTGAGGGGCAGAGCTCTCGGTGGGAAATCAGATCCCTGACTCAGCGTCCAAAAAGGTGAACCTGAGCCAGACGTGAACCCCTTGGGTCTTCCATTCCCTGTTGGGTGGGGGCAGAGACACAGTGATTGCCAAGGTCGGGAGAGCACAAGATCATATGTTTAGGAAGGCAGTCTACCGACGCGGCCAGCCCAGGCAGCCCCATGAGCCCAAACAGAGCTAAGTGTCCTCCACCCCAGATCACAGTCATCCTCATTCTCCCCACGGGCCACCAGCCTCAGGAAGATTAGCACTGCCACTTTACAGCTAAGGAAACAGAGGCACAGAGAGATCAGTAGACTTGCCCAACGCCACACAGCTGGTAAGTGGCCAAGCTGAGTCACACTCAGGTCTGCTGACCTCCAGATGTCCCTCATCTCTCCCCATGGTATTCACATGTGCTCAAGGTTGGCTTCTGCAGGCCAGTCCTGAGACCCTTTCCCAGTGGGCAGCACTTCTGGTTTGTGTTCTGAACCTTCTGGAAATGACCAGGGAAGGCTTCCCCATTCCCAATTTTTCTTCTTCCCCCAGACCCAATCATTTCCTCCCACATGGATATATTTGCACATCCCTGCTGATTCCACATTGATAAGGGAGGCGAAGACAAGAAGGGGGAGCTGAGAGCCTAGGGTCACTATGGTGCTGGGACCACCAGCCTTTCAGAATCTTCTGGGCAGCTGGTGAAAACAGATTTCTAGGCTCCTGGCTCCTCTCAACCCTCTGCGGGACCTGGAATCTGCGTGTCACAAGCTGCCTTGAGGATTCACTGGGGTAGGAGCCCCCCAGGCGGAGAGGGAGGCTCCAGGGCTCCTTCCTTGCTAGAAGGAGAGCATGGGGGTCCCACCAGAGGTCCCACCGAGCCACCACGTCATCCTGACTTACCTGCTCAGATGCTGACCACCAGGCAGGAATCACCTTCTCCCCGCCCCTGGCTGCTGGTCTCTCAGACACAAGGGGGGATTAGCTGGCAGCAGCGGGCCGTGTGCAAGGGATTAGAAGGTGCCCAACAGGGGTGGGGAGGTGACGGTGGAAGACAGGAGCTCCATGGCCAGGGGCAACCTGGGCCGTCCAGGGGCCAGCAGGGATCGAGGTCCCAGGGCAGGAGCCCCACTTGGCCCTGGTTGGAGCAGAATGAGTTGCCATGGGACCCAGGGTACCACACACCTTGGCCAAGCCACAGAGTGGCCGGTGGGAGAAGAGCAGCTTCGTGTCCCTGTGGGAGGGGAGTGAGGTGCTGGCGGGGGAGTGATCACATGGGGCCCTGCATGAGTGAGACTTGGCTTATGCCCCCCTCCCTGGGCTGAGCAGCCTGGAGGTAGCAGAGCCCCTGGGGAGTGGGCAAAGTCAGATGTGCCTGGGGGAAGAGGAAGGGGTTCTAGGGCAAGGAAAATGAACAAACTTTGGCCATACACCAGTTGGGATGACCCTCATGTGCTTATATATGGAGAGAAAGAAGCCAGACTCAAAAGACCCTGATGAGCCATATAGACAAAGCTCACAAGGGGCAAAACTAGCCTGTCTTGTCTCTGGCTGCAAATGTACGTAGTAAAACGACCAGGCAAATCAGTGGTGATGTTTTATAGCCAGAGGGCGGTTACCTCTGCAGGGGTTGAGCTGGGGAAGGGGTATGTGAAAGCTTCTAGGGGCTGGCAGAGCCCTCCCTGTTTCTTGCTTTCTTTAGCTGGCATCAATTTTTAAAAACACCTTACAAGGTATAATTTCTACGCCATAAAATTCACCCATTTTTGGGCGCCTGGGTGGCTCAGTTGGTTAAGCGACTGCCTTCGGCTCAGGTCATGATCCTGGAGTCCCGGGATCGAGTCCCGCATCGGGCTCCCTGCTCGGCAGGGAGTCTGCTTCTCCCTCTGACCCTCCTCCCTCTCATGCTCTCTGTCTCTCATTCTCTCTGTCTCAAATAAACAAATAAAATCTTAAAAAAAAAAAAAATTCACCCATTTTTAATAAAGTGACTGAGCTAGGCAATTTGCACCGCCCAGTTTTAGACCATTGCCATCGCCCCGATGAGACCCGTCGTGCTTGGTGGGAATCACTCCCATCCTCAGCCATAGCTCCGGACAACCACCGGTATGCTCTCCGGCCCCCCAAAGGGGCCTTTTCTGGACATTTTCTATAATGGATCATACAACACGTGGAGTATTTTTGTGTCTGATTTCTTTCATTTAGCATAATGTTTTTGAGAATCACCCACATGGAACCACGTATCAGGACTTCGTTTCCTTTAAATTCCTGAGTATTCCATGGGGGAGGATATACCACAATCTATGAATCTACTCACTAGTCAGTGGACACTTGGGTTGTTCCCACCTATCGGCTATTTGAAATCATGCTGCTGTGAAGATTTGTGCGCCAGCTTTTGTGTGGACATATATATTTTCAGTATGCTTGGGAAGATTCCTAGGGATAAAATTGCTGCGTTCTGTGATAATTTTATGTGCTGTGTTTTAAGAAACTGCTAATCTGTTTTGCAAAGTAGTACCTCTTGTCTTGGCCTGAATAAGAGAACGTGGGCTCTCGCCTTAGAAATTATTAGTTACATTGTATATTTATGCACTTGCTGTATTTTGTTGTATTTTATAACTTTAAAAGACTTAAAAACAAATCAGGGGTGGGGTGGTGCGTAGAGGCAACTCTGGGAGAGTTTTCTCTAAGGGGTGGGGCTCAGGGGTGCTGTCTGGGGGGGCTGTCTGGAGCCCTGGAGGTGGAACAGCGAGGGAGCCAGATCCTGCATGAGCCTCCCAGGAGGTCTCCCAGGACCCAGCAGTCTCAGTACCTGGGCAGGTGACTGTGAAGCATATGCCGGTACAGACATAGAAGTTAGACTCTCCCCAGGTCGCCTCACCAGTGGGGCCCAATGCCAGTGGTTGTGACCAGGGTGGCGGGCAGGCCCCAGGGCTTTCGGGTGCTGGGCTTAGGCACTCATGACCTCTCTTTCCTGGGAGGGAGGGAGGGAGGCTGCAGGCCTGCAGGGGGCCAGGGCTAGAATATCACCTGCTAATCCCTAGCCTGCTGAGGCCACCACTCTCCCTGATCCCTTTATGCTGACCCTGGATACTAGCCAACTGCTGATCGCCACCCTTGGAGACCCAAGGTCTGGGAGGCAGGGTAGTGCCCTCTTCTCTCAAGTCTGCAGGACGGCTCACGGTCTCCCTACATGGCAGGGCCTAGGGTCTTGCCTAACATAGAGCCTTGAGGCCCAGAGAGAGACAGCGACTAGCCCAGGATCACACAGCATGCCCTGGCTTGCCGTGGCATGGCCACCTCCAGGGTGGCCTATGCTAACGCCCGGGAGACAGCAACCTTCAGGAAAGCCAAAAGTGGGAGCCAGTGCGCAACACCCCAGGTAGCTGGCTCCTCACCTCAGAACCGACAGTTGCCAGGGTTGCCGAGGAGTGGGCGCCCTCACAATCAGGCGGCAATGGGCATTGTCTCTCTGCAGAATGTTCCTTTATTCTCCTACTGTATAAGGCACTGGGGTCAGTCCATCTCCCTGCCTCTTCTCCCCACTGAGCCGTCAGAAGAGCAGGAAACCCTCACAGGCCTGTGTACCTGCAGACCAGGTAGCCGCTGTCGGGGGGGGGGGGGGGGAGGGTAAGGAGCAAGGAGTCCTTTCTCCCCTCTTCCCCCTGCCCCACGTCCCCGTCCTCCCTGGGAAGGCCCACAGCCTGAGACAGCTTCCCTAGGGCCAGTCCCCTTAGCCTCTCCCTGCTCCTCCAGGGTCCAAGGTTCTCGCTCCTCCTGCGCACCTCCCACTCACCTCCCACTCACCTCCGCCTCGCACGTCTAACGGGGTCACGCAGAAAGCAAGCAGACTCAACAAATTCTCCCTAAAGTTTCAATGACCGACAAGCCGTGGGAATAGCTACTCTTTATAGGGAGGCACCGAGCAACCAGCAATGCTGTTCTAGTTCATATCTCTCATGCCTCACCCCTTCTTTAAAACTTGCCTGTGTCTCCCTGTAGAATTTTGAGTAAATGCCAGATACTTTAGCTAAGGCCAGAAGTCCATAATTAGCTACCCAGAGGCAAACGGAGCTCATTTCTGAACCCATCTGCGGCGGCTGCTTCCCGATCCCGATTTAAGAACAGACTCCCATGCGGCCGCTTTTAGACCATTCTGAGCCACACACACCCTCTCCTGACCTGTCAGAGCCCTGAGCACGCGCGCGGGGGTGAGTCTGAATGTCCCTGACTCCGCAGGCAATGCCCCCAGCTCTGGGTAGTAGTGTTGGATGAATAGAGAAATCGGCCCCGGCCAAGGTTGTGTCACCCCATAAAAGGGTGTTGGGTCGGGGTGTCTCTGCTCCCCCAGCCATGACCCACATCATTGACCTGGTGCCCTGGGACGACTGCTCCACGCACGCGTTCGCGTCCCCCGCCATCCTGCTGCCGCTGGAGCCGCCACGCAACCAGCTGGCGGGCGTGAAGCAGCAGCTCTACCACCCGGCCCTGCCCAGCCTGCGCCGCATGGACATGGACTCGGTCAGGGCCTGCCTTTCCGACGAGCACTGCCGGTCCACCACCTACTGCCGCAGAGGTCCGGCCACCAGGCTGCCGCTGGCCACCGGGCCCCTCGGGCCTTGCGGGGGCGGGGGTGGGGGTGGGGGGGAGAAAAGCCAGGAGGGGGGCGGGGTTGGGGGTTTCCTGATAAGGAAGCCTCCGCTTCCTTATCAGGAAAATGGGGTAACAGGGCCTGCCTCATATTATGCTGAGATTAAAACGAGCTGGGAGAATAGGGGAAGGGAGGGAAAAATAAAACAAGGCGAAATCAGAGAGCGAGACAAACCACAGGAGACTCTTAATCACAGGAAACAAACTGAGGGTTGCTGGAGGGGAGGGAGGTGGGGGGTGGGGGACCTGGGTGAGGGGCAATGAGGAGGGCACCTGATGTGATGAGCACTGGGTGTTACATACAACCCACGAATCACTGAACTCCACCTCTGAGACTAATAATACACTCTATGTTAATTAATTGAATTTAAATAAATAAATAAATAACAAGCTAAGAGAAGCACTTAAAGTTGTGCCTAGCACAGAGCACGTGCCCAACAATAACATAACGGTGGTTACTAACGGAGAGAGAAGTGTGCAGAAGTCACGTAGTAGGAGCGATCATAAAGCGACAGTGACAGCTTCTGCCCAATCTGCTCTCCACGTGGAAAAGGAAGAGAAAGACCCTCCTCACACTCCCCATGAATGAGAGGTGGACAGGAGAGTCTTTGGGGTGAAAAGGCCACATGCACCCAAGGAATAGCTCTTCATCGATTGAGAAGCTTGGGTGTGGAGATGGGGGTGCCTGTGAATGAATGAATGAATGAATGAATGAATGAATGAATGAATGAATGAATACACGTTCATTTCAGCACATGTATTAAGCACTTGCTTTGTGCCTGATGCTGCCCCAGAGGGACGGAATCAGAGAAGATAGCACGTGCAGGGCCCTGGAGGGGAAAAACTGCCCCAGGTGTTGGGGGAACTTGAGGGGTTTGGTTGGGCTGAAGGACAAGGTTGGGGCAGCAGCAGGAGCTGGGGCTGGGGACCAGGGCACTGTTACTAAGCTCAGGGAGCTTTGGAGGCAAAGGGGACCCTCTGAAGACTTGAAGCAGAAAAGAGGTCTGAGATTCTGGGGGTGGGAAGGGGGTGGAGGATGGCTCAGAGGGACCAGAGGTGGATGGGGGCTGGGGGGGGTATGACACTGGGAGGGACCACAGTCTTCAGGAAGGAGTAACAGTGTTTCAGCCACTGGAGAGGGTTTGGGAAGGTATTTAGGAGATGAAGTAACAGGATTTGGTACCAGTGTGGTGAGGGGCAAGAGTGGGAAGTCTGGAATGATACCCAGTTTCCAGCTCAGGTGACAAGTGGGACGAAGGTGTCAGAGATTGCATGGAAATTTCCAGAGGCCCCATGCAGAGCCCTGTAGGGCCTAGATGGGAAATGCCGGAGGTGGGTGGGGAAGCAGTGAGGAGGGAGGCCCCCACACCTGGCCCTCTAAGGGGCAGCCGCCATGGGGCTCCAGCTAACTGCTGCGTGGGCAGGCTCGGCATGTTTCTCCCAATTTCCTGGGTTCTCTTGGAAGCCAGGAATCTAGGTTTTTAGGGACAGCTCTTGATTTAGATATGTATTTTTATTGCAAGCTTATGCCTTTAATAAAAGTAATAGAGTCACAGGTTCAAAATTCAAATGCTGTAACAATGTAGATCTTAACATCTCCCTCTGCCATCCCCCACTTCTACTGACTTACAGGTAACCTGCCAGTTTCCAATGTATCCTTCCACTGTTTACTAATGCAAATACAAACATAAATTCTTTTGCTCCCCAACTTTTTGTTATGAAGATATTCAAACATAGAGAACAGTTGAAAGGATAATACTATGGACACCCAGTGCCTTCCACCTGCTTCAGTTAATCCATTACCATATTTGATTATTCTCTCTCTAACACACACACAGACACTCACACTCTCTCACACACACTTCAGCAAACAGTTCCCAGTGACACCAACCTCCTATATGACACAATACTATATGATCACATCCAGGAAAGTTAACAATAATTCCATAACACCTACTCTTCAGTCTATATTGAAATGTCCCAAATGACCCCTAAAGATGTCTCAGAGTTTTAAAATCCTTCCAGAACCAGGCTGCAATCTAGGATTGCACATTGTAACTGGTTGCTATGTATCTTGTTTTAGTCTGAAATAGTCCACCCACTTTCCGTTTTCCAATTGGAAAATTTCCAATTTTAATATCGGCTTTTTAGAGTTCAAAATACTTATGTTGTAGATAGTCCTACGTTGTGAATCTGAGTATTTCCTTAAAATGTTGTTTACCTTGATTGTTTTCTGTAAATTAGAAACTAGGTGTAGAGGCTTGGTTAGCCAGATAAAACATTGGTGGCCAGAATCTTGCACAGGGGATGGATGCCATGTTTGCCCTAATGCTTCAGTGGGAGACACGTAATGTCATTATCCTGCTGTTCATGATGTGAGGTTTGATGACTTGGTTAAGGTGGTGACCTGAATGTATCTTCTTCTCTGCCTCCAATTGCCTCAGTTTTAGGTGTTAAAGCAAAAGGGAGCATACAGCATATACTCTTGGACACCTTGGAGATTTCGTATGGAGAACTGCGTCTATTTATTTTAAGTAGCTGCCTAGTGAGGACATATCACAGTGTATTTAACCAGTCCTTTAATGACAGACACTTGAGCTGCTCCATCATTCTCTGCTCCCAGCAATGCTGAAATGGGCAGATCTTTTACCCACATCATTTCCCAGTTGTACACCTATAATGTGGGATAAATTCCCAGAAGTAGGACCAGAGGGTCCGAAGGTATGTGTATTTATACTTCTGATAGTTAATGCCAATTGCTTTCCATAGGCTGGAACCAATTAATACCAGCCATATTACAGCACTGGCCCTGTTTCCAATAACTGCACTAACTTTTGGATTGTTTCCAATCTGATAGGCAAATATTGGCATCTTAATGTAGTTTGAAGATGCATTCATCTTATTGTGAATGAGGCTGAGTATCTTTTCATATGTTTTAGGGACCACCAGCATTCCTTGTGTTTGTGTGTGAATTACCTATGCATACGGCTGGCTCATTCTTCTTGTCTTGATTTCTAGGAACTCTTCAGGGAAATTGCACCTCATCTGTAAAATAAGTGGAAATATTTTTTTCCCATTTGCCCTTTGACTCCTGTCAGTTTTGCCAAGCAGAAGTTTGCTTTTTGTAGTCAAAGTCATCAGTCTTCCCTTTATAGCTATCAGATTGTGAATGAATTGATATGGCCTTCCTCACCCTAAGGTTATAAGGGAATTTACATGTTTTCCTCTAGGGTTTTTATGGTTTTGTGTTTTTTACATTGAAATCTTTGATCTACTTGGAGTTTATCCTGTTGTAAAAGTAAAAATCTATTCTATCTTGGGTTTGTTTTAAGTTGTCAAATATTTCCAGGAACTTTTGGAGAAAGGGCTCCTGAGGGGGCCCATGATGGCTGGTGGAGGAGACACCTCTTCTCCCTCTCTTCTTCAGATGACTTTGACAACGCCCACTTCACACTTTTGGGTGTCCCCAACAAACCCCTGCAGTGCTTGGTGAGTGTCCTTTGCTCCTGGCCCCGGGTTTGCTCAGGGGAGAGGGTGTGAAGGTCCTGCCTGCTCCCAGCCCCAAGTACCTCGGGTTCTTCAGCTGCCTGCTTGGGCCCCTGCCCCCTTCCCATCTCCTTTAGGGGGCTTCAGGCTCTCCACCAAGCGCCTGGGTCGGAAGGGCCAAGTTGTCAGGCCCAGGCTACGGGCTGGTCTGGGTCGGCCCCCCAGGCTTCTGCACCTACCACTACGCCCTGACTCACATCACCCTGGCAGGACGTCACGGCGACGGGCCAGAGACTCCGCAACAGGTGCCGCGAGGGAAAGCTGGTACCCATCGTGCCGGGCATCAACCGGGTCGACTGGCCCTGCTTCACACGCGCCATTGAGGACTGGTCCCGCTTCGTGTCTTCCGCCGGCGAGTTCAAGCTGCCCTGCCCGAGCAAGAGGGGTCAGTGTACTGGGCCCGGAGGATGCCCTAGGGCGGGAGAGACCCGGAGCGCCACCTGCGGGCGAGGGGCATGGGGAGGGGGGGCTGCGACAAGGACGGCGGGGAAACCGAGGAGCAGCTGGGGCACTTAGAGCGGGCAGGACCGAGAGAGGCTGAGGGACAAAGACGTGGGGCTCGTCTTGGGGAGGGGGCAGGGGCCAGGTCCCGGCCCGAGGGAGCCATTGGGCGGAGGCTGAGCGCGGGGCGGGTTCTGGGACGGGCGGAGCAGAGTCTAGAAGCGGGGCTTGTCCTGGCCGGGCCGGGGGACGGGCTCACCCAACGGGTGTGGGCGTGGTTCGGTCCAGGGGCGGGGCTCAGGTAAGAGCAGGGGCGGGGCTTGTTCGGGGCGGGCTGGGGGCTGGAGAAGGGCGGTCTCTCCGCAGTCGAGAGTTTCAGTGGCTACGCGGTGCGGTACTTGAAGCCGGAGGTGACCCAGAATTGGCGAGTAAGGAGGGCTGCATGCTGACCTGTCCCTGGGGACCAGGGGGTCGGGGAGGAGAAGCTAACACGGGGGTGGGGTGGGGAGAGGTCACCCAGAGCAGGGTTTCCCGGTCCCCAGGACCAAGATCTCTGGCAGAGAGCGCTGTGGCGGGCCGGGGGGGGGGGGGGGGGTGTCAGTGTCCCCCCCCCCTCGGCTCACGGATCCCCCATTCCTCTGGCCCGCGCCAGTACTGTCTCAACCAGAACCCCAGCCTGGACCGCTACGGACAGAAGCCCCTGCCTTTCGACTCCTTGTAAGTGACGCCACAGGCCCCAGGACCCCATACCTGGAGGAGGGAGGATGGGGTCTTGGCCGCTTTCCTCCGAGCACCTTTAGTGACTCTTGAAAGTGTGAGACCCGGGAAAACTGCTGGGTTCCAATACACCACAAGGAAATTGCAGTTCCAAACTGAACAGATGTTTAATCAAACGGAGCATCCTGTCCTCCAGTCCCTGGCAACCCCACCTTTTGGAGGGAAGGCATTAGGTGGAACCAGGGTGGAATGTAATCCTTCTGGTGGGATAGCGCCTCCCGAGATGGGAGTGAGGTTCCCCGAGAGGGTCACCCTTCCCCACCTCGGGCTCACCTTCCTCCTCCCTTTTTGGCAGGAATGCCTTCCGACACTTCGGCTCAATCTACAGGTAGGGGAATGACCCCCTCCTGCTCCACAACCGGCCACTCCTCCATGGGGCTGTGTCCTGGCCGCCTCTGGGCTCAGGCGACTCTCAGACCCCTCTCCACCCTGCCTCGAGCCAAGGGATTGGTACCCTCCGGGTGATATCGGGCCCGATCTGCTTCCCTCGGGAGAGATCCGCGCCAGGAGAAAGCACAGCCTACTGGGAGATGGGGGGAGCAGAGTGCATGTCCCACCCGATTTGGCTCAGACTAGGCCAAAAGGAGGGGGGCTTACCAGGGAGGAGAGCAAGGGCTGATGGAAAGAACCAAGAGTCTGCCTTCCAGGATCCGGAGAGGTGGGAAGGGCTGAGGCTCCTGTTTCCAGCAGGAAGGTGTAAGGTATTCCAGCATCTTCATCTTTGAGCCGTCTCCCAACTACCAGGCCCCCTTTCCTCCACCGCAGCAGTACCACATCCTGGGTGTCCCCCAAAGCACCAGCACAACCAAGCACGCCACACTTTTGCTGGTGCTCTTTCAGGACCTAGGTGATCCTTCCTTCTCTACCTGGAAAATTCCTCCTCACTCTTGAAAGCCCAGCCTAGATGTCCTATCCTCCTTGGTCTTCCCTGAGGCTCCCTTGAAGCCTCTGCTCTCCAGCTCAAACCCCCTCGGGTTGGTCACCACAGATGCATCCCTATCTGATAGCACATAGACTATTGCGTTATAATTACTGATGGAAAGTTTGCCTTCTCTCACCCACCCTGTCCACACACAGGGGAACGCTTTCTGATATTTTACTATTATATACTATTATATAATGCCTGCCAGGGTAAGTGCACTAAATGTTTGAAAAATGAGTAAAGCACGGCAGGACTGGGGATCAATGAGAAACAAAGATGAGGCAAACTGGAAGGGGGTGATTGAAAGTCAAGCAGAGTCTCTGAAAATATATAATTGAAAGGAAATAGGGAGCCACTGAAGGCTCTTGAGCCATAGAGAGATAGGATGGAAGCTGTGTTTTCAGAGCTTTGAGGACAGGAAGTTGGGTTTGGGGGGCAGGCCTACAGAAGGACAGCTTGATTTTCCCCAGGACACCCTGGAAGCCCCTGCCTCAACCCTATTTCTCTCCACAGTCGTGTCAACTATCTGACCCCCTGGCATTAATCTGTGAAAAGGAAACCGACCCTCAGGCTGCTGGACTCTGGCACCTCAGGTTCTCCAGCAGGACAGGGGGTGTGGTGGCACCACTCATTTCCCTACGAGGTCAGCCTGACTGGAAATAAATCTAGTAATAATAAACCAGGTCTGTGTGTGTGTGTGTGTGTGTGTGTGTTGCAGGGATTGGGAGAGAGGTCAGTACCTCAGGATGCTGTCTTACCTTTACCTGCCCCCTGCCAACTCCTGGAGGACTGGTGGGGGGCTGGAGAAAGATGTTTCGTGACCCCAGGTAAAGAGTCAGGGTCTAAGCCCCAAGGCTCAGCCAGGGGTGAGGTGTAGAGTTAGCCTGGGAACTGGGTTTTCCCTGTGCCCCTGTCCCCTGCTTGCAGCCCAACAACCGGGCCCCCTCCACCTCAGACTTTGAACTTGGGCCCTAAAAAGAAAAGAGGAGGTTCAAAAGGAATTTTAGATACCTCTCTCAGAAGCTTTTACCATACCAGTATACTCTGGGGGCTTCCCTGGGTCTGGCAGGCTCTGGTGGGCTCAAGGCCGCCTCTGGGCGTGGAGCAAGAATCACCTACTCCCTCCACGTAGCTTCAGGACTAGCCCTCACATCTGTCCACCAAACTACAGAAAGGAAAGCATGATGTCCTGGGGATAGCCATGGGCTCTCGTGGGCCAGGTCCGGAATAACCGCACTCAAAGGGCTAAGGAAGAGTGTCTCTGGCATGGTTAGGGAGAGCCAGGATCAATGCACAGCTCCCTTCCAGATAGCCCACCCGCATCCCACTTGTGGGCAGTCTGCAAGGACAGATCCCAACCAGGATAAATAGCCACCAAGCTCTAAGACTATCTGAACAAGAGCCCTACGGCTAGGGTCTGGAGCCTCAGGGATCCTTGAAACTTCTGAAACCATGAGCAAAACTGTATGTGCCCCCACATATACATTTTCCCATGGAGAGACCCCTTGTTTTCATCTGATTCTCAGGAGAGTCAGTGCCCAGAAAGGTTAGGAAACCCTGACTACACCCTCCCCATCCCCTTCCACTAATAATTACTAAGCACCTACTGCACACAAGCTAGGTCTCAGGTGGAAGGGATTTAAAGAATAATACCAGGCTCTTATTTCTGGACTCTATGTTACACTATTCAGAACACACTGTCATGTGACTTATTATCTCCTCCATGCCTCAAATCCCATAAACACTCGGAAAAGTGACCAGAACGAATGCTATCCTATATCACAGATGGGAAAACTGAGGCCCAGATCAGGAAGTAGTTCACTTCGGCCACACCCAGAACTCAGGACTCAAAGCAAGTCCCAGCACTCGACACAGTGTTCACATACAGTTTGCGCTCAATGTCGTAGAATAAATTATTTCTCAGAATGGGAGGTCTTTTGTTCAATCTTGGATAAAAAACAAGGAGACAGCTTTGTCATTGTCATCTGATAATGCAGACAGAGCCTGCCTTACAGACTCTAGGCTGACTTTAATTTCTTTTAGGGGTGGAGGTGATGGTTACTATCCTAATACGGAGGTGAGGGACCATGGTGTCTGTCTGTCTGTCCTCAAGGGTGGGGTTCTGCTGACAACAGAGCAGGAGCATGGGGAGGAGCAGACGGGGAGTGGTAAACAGATCATGGAGCCCCTTCTTCCTTGGGGGCCTATCGAGAAGGTACCCAGCTTCCTGCCATTTCATGCAGGAAGAAACCCTTTCCTCCAAGCCCAGCGGGCAGTCCACCTGGCTTGAACCTCAGGAAGCCCCTGGCAGAACCTCTTGGGGTATCAGAGCCACATTCTGCAAACTTGAGTGCCTCCCCCAACATGACAGCTCAGAGAAGGGATAGATCTGCCCAAGGCTCCCATCACAGCAGGGATGCTGGAGTCCTGGCCTGTGTGGGCCTGGGACAGCCAGAGAGCATGCTTCAATGTACCAGAGGGAATCAAGTGCCTGGGGCTTTTTTCCTGGCCCTGCTACCTTGACACCAAATGACTGGGCAAGGCCCTCCGGGAATTTGGCCCAGGGGACATTTGAGGCTTACCCAGCCCCATGCTGGGTGCAGGAAGGACACAGACCAGAAGCCCTCCCTGCCTGGGAGGTGCGCCCAGGACAGGAGGAGGAAGGCAGGCCCAGCTGATTCAAACTTGAAAGCAGAAGGTGAGAATGTGGGCACACCTAGACCACGTTCCTCGAGCCCAAGACGCTGAAAGGTATGGTAACCCACACCAGCAATGTAATTAGGTTCTTGCTCACCAATTGTACACTGAATCCTGATTCCATAGACCTAAAAATGTGTGTCCAAGAATAAAGGAAATGCAGAGTGGATGAGCATTAACAAGCCTGATTCAGTATGTACCTTCTTTTTTTCTTTATTAATTAATTTATTTTTAATTAATCTCTACGCCCAAAACGGGGCTGGAACTCAGGACCCCAAGATCAAGAGTCCCATGCTCTTCCGACTGAGACAGCCAGGCACCCTACCACTTTCTATTTTTTAAGCGCAAGATAATGTATTAACCATTGCAGACACCATGAGGTGGGTCATTTTAGGCCCATTTTATGGGTGATGAAATGGAGGTTAAGTGCCTGGCCCAAGGTCACACTGCTGGTGATTGGCAGAGCTGGGAATTGAAGCCAGCCTACCTGACCTTGAGC